TAACTAAAAGAGCTTGCTTGCACCACAAAATGCCTAAGTGACAACATCGATGTCTAACCCAAAACCGAGCAAGGGTAGCTGCATCGCTAATATCGTGCCGATTCCCCATCATAAACTATGGCGTGCCCGTTTCATATCGACGGGTTTCCGAGTAGACAAGTGCCGAATTTTTCGAATTTTCTGGTGTCATTAACCTTGAGGGGGTGGAGCCTTTTTTTTTATTTTTTTGTTTTGTATATTTGCTACCTTGAGGGGGGGAGCTACTATCTCAAAGCTATAACATTCATTTAATCTCCACAATGTTAACGAATTTTCAGGCGCGATTCAAAGTGGTTTGGGAGAGTGAGTGGTGGAAAAGGAGGAGAGGAAAAGTGCCCCCGCATTTAAATTCTTCTTCTGCTTCACGCAACAATACTCAAAAGAGTTTTCTTAAATTTCTGAATTTTTTTTATTCTAAATTTTTCATGCTTCCATTTTCACTTAGGATTTGTTTGAGTTAGAGAATTCCACGAATTAGTTTTTGGACTTTCACACGTGAAAATGATCAGTAAACGAAAAACTATTTATGATCAAAGAAAACATGCACGTTTAAAGTTAAAAAACTAAATTTTCTACTCTAAACGGGGGGAAACATTTTCCCGAAAAATTATTTCCAAAAAATTATTTTTTTTTATCGTGAAATTTTCTCCGAAATAAAACGCACTATCGGTCTTACTTTCTCGATACGTGTCAACTTTTTTTTGCTAAATCTCGATATGTGTCAACTTGTGTTAAAGAAAAGAGGTACCTCGACAAATGGATGAATATTTTTCATTTTCATTATATAGGATAAAAACAAATAAACTATCTCGATCTATAATGTCAAAATCGAAATTAATGCCCATTCGCTTTCGCTCTCGCTCCCTCGCATTCCATTTTGCCTCCGTAACAAAAGCTGAGCTGTCGCCCGTCGGCTTGGATTGGTTATGAATCCGATGGTGGTCCCCACTTGTGTGGGTGGGCCCCCCGAAGAATTCTTCGCCCTTCTATCATGACAGCTCACACGTGAACAGGGGCTCCATCTGCACACGTGGCCGGCGGGTATTGGCGGTAACCCCCGTCGTTTGGTATCGTCCCCACGTGGGAGATCGCAACGGTGGACTTGGGCTTGGGCGGGGAGCTTTAAATTACATACACGGGACCATCCGTCTGATCGTAGGGCTGGAGAATCTTTCCTTATTTTGGCATCATCTTCTGATTATGATTTCTTCTTTCATCCTTTACCCCCCCGGCCAGAGGAACTGTAGTCGATTTTAGCATCATATTCGGATACTATTTAGGATTAAGTTAATTGTAATAGCATTCTCATTGGTTATGAAATAGAATAGTTTAACATGGTGCGAGAGTTATGTGCTAGTGCTATCCATTTCGCGCGCGTGTTTACTCCATATTAATCAAATTCCACATATCACTCTTGATCTGATTTGCACGTAAGAGGGGTGTTGAAATGTCCCACGTCGACTAACAACGAGTCTTATATGTTTTTTTATGTACGCGCGATCTGCCTCCGCCTAGTGGCTTAAGCTTTTAGTATATTCTACTAATCACCCTTTTTTTTTTATGGGGATTGTAGGTGTGAGCGTGGTTGAACCCGAGAACCGGACCGGTGGGAACCTATTCGGTTCCAAATTCCAAGGTATGGGTAGGTTTTAAGTTCGAAAAATTGGGAAACTTATTTCAATGGGTAGGTTTTAGCGCGATCTATGTCTTAGCGCGATCTTGCGGTATTCCATAGCGTTCAATGATGAATGAATAATCTGGAACCATTAGTCCAAGCTTCCATTTTATGACTGAGAATTTTATTTTGTTAATATTTCATATTTTTCGTGAATCTAAATATAAGTTATGGTTAGTGGATTGTAGCAACAAGTGGTGGTCATAAAAGATGACGTTTAACTGCAATAATTCAATTAATAATACAGGTGGAATCTGGGTAGACCTTGGAACCTAGGTAGACTTTGGAACTAACCCTGGAACCTGTAACATGCTAGGTTTCAGGTTTCAAGGTATGCACGGTATGTTTCAGGTTCAAAAAAATAAGGAACCTACTCCAATTGGTAGGTTTCAGTATCTATCTGGAACCTGTACGGAATCTGGAACCGCTCACCCTTAGAGGATTGTCCTGTCTTATTCCACCTTTAATGCGAGACCTTTTCAAGTGGTACGAGAGTATGACAAAAAAAAAAAGTGGTATGAGAGCAAGAGTGGGCATCTTGCGTGGATTAACTAATTAATCATTTTGGTTGTAAACGTCCTTCTTTTTGTACACCATGCGCATTATTACTTTTACAGCTTTCTTCTTTTTTTTTTTAACAAAGTTTATGTAATTTACGCATTGTTTTTGAATAAATGTATTTTTCAAAAAATTTTAAAAGGAATTAAATACCGATGTATCCATTTTCGAGCAAGGCAAAAAACACAAGGGGACAGGCTGTTGGGGAGGCGCTCGTATCGGGAATACAAAAACCGCGACGGGGACAGTGACATGTCGTCGACTCTCGAGAATTCCGATTTGTCCGAACCCGGTTCGTGGCTGCGAGGTTTTTGTCGTGTACGTGCGCTGTTCCCGATCTTTGTCTCCACCCCCTCCGAAACGACGTGACTGGCCTCCCTTCCGAAAGCCCATTGGGCCCCCACAAAAGTCTGGGTTTTCGCGGGCCACGAACGAGATGGCGACCCTCGCCTGTATGGGCCCACCAAGCCCAACTTCGGCCCATTCGCATTTCTAAACGTGAACTCTCTGTAATGCCGACTCTCTTCGGATCGGTTTCTGAAAATGAGAAGATGGCTCTAGGGATGATGGTGGGCGGGCACCCGACTCGTATAAACTCTAAGGCTACGTTTGGTTGATCGGATAAAAGCCAGGATAGAATATGTTTTATCCTATTCTGTGTTTGGTGGTGGTCCAGGATAAGATAAGGTCGGATATAGACCGGATATAGCCCGGATAAAAAAATCCGAGGGGGGGAGGTGGGATAGTCCTGGATAGGATTTTTAATGACTATTTTCCAGAAACCCTACGCTCCACTCGCCGTCATCTTCATCCCCACACCTTGTGTGCTTTCACCAAAAAAATTTCTCGGCTTTTTTTCCTTCACCGACTCCTCCGGACCCGTGAATAGCAAAAAAAAAAAAAAAATTATCCTATCCGACTTTAAATCCGTAGTCCACCAAACAGTGGATAGGATATAAAGAAATCTCAGGATTTCTTATCATATCCTATCCAGTCCTATCCTGTTTAGAAATCCGGACGACCAAACGCAGCCTAATGAGAGCTAAACGGGTTTTGAGCAGCGGGATGGGTTTCGAGTCGACCGTCGAAAACCCTTTAGGTATTGGGCCGGGTGTGATTTTTTATAGGCAGGGAAACTCGATGCCCGGTACTCGGTATGTTTTAATTGCTAGAATGATGTCATATCTTTTATTGTCTCTAGGTTCGATTATCTAGCAAATGTGCGTAATTGTTTGAAGGGATGTATCGAGAATCAAAACAGAACGATCACGCAGAAATCAGAGAAAATAGACGATGCACGAATTTACCCAGGTTCACCCTCGAATAGGGCTACGTCCTGCAAAGAGATTTCACTATATTTTCGGTTTTCAGCCACTCAACTCGTTACAATGATCAGAAAAACAAGCAAAATATATATGTGCGCCAAACGGGCCCAAAACCTAAACCTATACGAAATCTCTTAATCTCGCACCATACGGGCCAGCTTAAATAAAAGCCCAAACCCGCTGCCCGGTCAGTGGGGCAGCCGTTCGCTGATCGGGTAGCGGAACCCCCATTGGGGGCACTGCCCCCGAACCCCCGCCCGCTAACCGGGCAGCGGGACACCCGTGTCGGGGGCGCTGCCCCCGAACCCCCGCATTCCGCACGCAGGGGTCACATGTCGTCGGATAACACTTCAGTTTCCCTAAGCTCACGTGGGCGTATCCGGTGTGAGAAACAAGGGTTCTCGAAGTATTCACCAACTCCAACATTGTTTTCGCCCTACTCGAGTTTGGGGCGTTTTTTTTAAATTTACTTAATGGCTAAACTCGAGATCTAAACTTTATAACTCATTTACCCAACTGCTCTTACTCTGCCGGAATACTTGAGGTTTACTTATACAATCTTGTTGACCTCTAGAGAAAGTCGATCATTATTTCAACATATCATTAACGATTGATTTCTCATTTTAGGATCGTTACATTTTAAGTTTTTACGATCGTTGATCTTCAATTATTTTTTTCACTCTCGTATTTTCCATATTCCGCAGGTTTTCTAGTTGAGATTTAGAATGTCACGAGTTTTGAGTAGATAATTATTTGATAGAACTTAACGCGATTTATTGCGTGCTTAATGGGAGGTAGACATGGCCACAGGCCGGTTTCGGTCAGGAACCGGCCCGAAACCGGCCCGGGTCAAACCCGGGACCAGCCCATTGACCGGGACCGCGGTTCGGAACCGGAACCGGCCCGTGACCTACGGGCCCGGTTCCAAAAAAAGAAAAACTGCAAATAAGTGGAGAAACTCTTTTTTTTCCCAAATTTGATTACAATGTACGTTTTGATTACATTTTATATTGAATAATTCATTATTTCATAATTTGATAATTTTTATTTTTTTATTTCATAATTTATTTTTTAATTTTACCGGCGGGTTTAACTGGTAGCGGGCCGGACCGCGGAACCGCCGGTTCGGTTCATTACATGGCCACGAACCGGAACCGACCGGTTTCGAACTGTGTCCATGTCTAATGGGCGGTACATGTTTACTATGATAGTAACACGGCGGGTTGTGAGTACCTGACAACCTGATGATACATTTCAGGACATTCAAAGTACTTATCGATCGGTGCTTATTCATCTCCTTGCAGCCACAGAAGAACGATGAACCGCGAGATTACACGGCCTCTGCTGCAGCGCTTTGCCTGACTCACCGACGCAGAAGGCCAAACGAATTCTTCGGGCTTGGAGTTTGGTTTTTCTACTTCTACGAAAACGCCGTGCTCACACCCACAAGAGAAAACGTGATTAGCTATTGCATGGCATGGATGGAGAACGTGAAGATCATCAAGGGCCAAGGGATCTTGTCCTCCCCGAGAACGTGGGGTTCGGCCCGCCTGGCGTGGCGCGACGCTGATGGCTATATGCAGTAACTCTTCGTGGACGGAGAGGATATTTGTAGGAAGAGAAACTCTTGTCACGCATGGTCGAATTGTGAACTCATTGCGTCTCGACCATTATGTGCGTCGGCCATGAATTTGATGGCTGGGATGAAGTAGGCTTTGATAGAAAGTGTAAAGAGATGATTTTGCTTTGAGTGCTATCCACTTGGGACCCGCCACGCCCATACCTTTTCCGGGTGGCCATCGTCTGCTTCGCTCTTTTTCTCTCTCTCTCTCTCCTTTTGGATTGGTGGATTTATTCATTTATTTTCGGAGTGATATTCTCAGAATTTGTGTGGAAATGCTGTCAGTGCGAGCCCTCTTCTCAAGCCGAGTCTCCGGATCTTCCTCGTGCATATCTATCCACACTCTCCTTTGAGTTTCCCTTTTTTCTTTTCCTTTTCTTTCTCGGGTTGCCTCCGTTTCTCGTGTTTATTTTTGGGCAGTTTGTTCTGTTGGGTGCCCTTTTCTCTCCAATGAGGAAGTCCCTGCTTAAAAACACTCCCTCGAGGTGATTTTGTTTGTTTGGATGCTCGTGGATGAGTTCGGATGCGTGCCTCTTTTGTTCCATTTTGGGGTGTACATGTGATCTTGTGAGGTGGGTCGGCCTTGGAATCTGTGGATTTGTCCCTTTTCAGGCAGCTTGCTGATGTTCTTGGTCTCGTTTTATGAACTGGAGCCATTGCCTTTCGCGCATTGAGGTTCTTGGGTCCTTATGAACTCGCCTCCAAGCCGTTGTGGATTATGTATAGATGAAGATGGACAATTCTGCTGTGTTGTCGTAATGTTGGTTGTTGATTTTGTGTGAAAAAGGAGAGGACTGTTGCATCTGATTGGGTGTTCTTGAGGGAAAACTTGAATTTTATGAGCTGGATGGTCTGAGACGAGTGATGAGGGACTTTTTTGTGCTTTTGTGGAGGGTTCTTGAAATGGGTTGAAATGGGGTGTACCTGAGCAATTTTTGGTTGGGAAAGAAAAGGCAAAGATGAAGTATGTGGAGCTTGTGACGAGGAGGGAATCAGGGAAAATGAGAGAAGTGAAAGACGATGAGAAGTAGATTAATACGAGTCCGATGTTTCCGAGATTTCATGTGAATGATGCGGAAAAAGGGGGGCTGAGAGCACCTCCCAGGAACAAAATGGCTCTCTATGAGCTGCTCAGCATTCCTTCACAAAGGTTCAACTCTCAAACGACATCGTTATTGCCCCTTCCACTCAACCAGGGCGGCTCTTTAGCTTCTTCGGCGCCATGGCTTTTTGTAAGTTCTTAGCAATTTCTTTCCTTCGTTAATTTTTTGTTCTTGGTCATGAGCTTGCTCTGTAGCTATAAGTCCAATTATCTTGAGAGCATTCTCTGTTTACTTCCTTTCTGTTTCTTAATTGTAGAATAGTAGTGGAATTGAATATTTCTGATATGTGATCATGCATATACATTGATTTGGACATTTAGGTGTACTGTGATTAATCGGTAGGTCATATGGTGACTGTAGGGTGGTGGAAACCAAAGCAATGCGTTGACACCTTTTTGTGGCTCAGAGGTCACTCATCTTACAAGGAAACCTGAACTGCATGCTTCCGCCGGCGACTCTTTGATGGAAAATAGAGAGATCAACTTGATGCAATCACGTGGTTCATCACATTTCGAGAGAGTTGCTCTGAGGAAACGCAGAAATGCTGATGATTTTACTGTTGCAGCTCTTGCCAAGAGAGTATTAATTCCCGATGGTGACTGTAAGCACAACAAAAATCTCAAGCTTAATCCTGACTTACACATGGGCGATTCAAGCCAAAGTAGGAGTTCTCGAGAAAAGCAGATTGACCCTACAAGATTCACCAGCATGAAGTCAAAACAATGCACAAGAAATCCATTACTGGACAATCAAGAAGTGTCTTTGGCAAGTCATGAGAGGCCAGTCACATTAAGTAGGGAGAAAACAGATGCATCTTTCCCCCCATTAAGCAAAGACAAAAAATCTGAAACTTCAGAAGGATCTCATCCATCTATAATTGGAGAATGTAGAAGCAGTTTGGTTGATGGGTTGAATGGGTTAGCATGTTCGAAGATTTCAATGGGTGAGGGGTGTCCTGTCCAGCAAGAAATATCAATGGTTAGAGGTGAAGTTTTAGAGGAATTAAGTAAGGGCAATGCTTCAAGCATGAGGAGTAGATTGCGTTCAAAGCCATTGATTGAGAATGAGAAAAATAGTGCAAACGGGCCCGAGTGTGACAATAATGATCATGAAGACGGTGAACATCCCATCCGAGCATCAGAAGGAAATGGATGTAGTGTCTTGGACCGTTCGGAAGAGTCTCCATCTGCTTTGTTTATGTTGCCGGATGACGTTGTTGGAGTAATAGGTGAAAAACAATTCTGGAATGCGAGAAAAGCCATTGTCAAGTAAGTTGCCTTTTATCTTATCTAGAAATTCCATTTTTTCTTCTTTGGTGGAAAATCATTTTCCAATTAGTTCTTTCTCTGACTCTTGCAGATGATTTTCCTTGCTAGCTAGTATTAGCCCTAATATCCCTTATAATCTCTCTCTCTCTCTCTCCTGTTGAAGAAAAGCAGTGTCTGATCCTAAGGCCACATTTGTTAATCTTTGCCACCATATTAGGAAATTTTTGGTGAAGCCTAAGGTTAGCAGATTGGCTGTTGCAGAGCAATTCAAACTCTTAGTATGCATTTGTACACGGGAAGAATTCATTTCAAGCCGACGGTCCATGTGAGACAATGTGATAAGCATCATCTGGTTATGGTTGAAGAGTGTACTGTCATCATTTTGGCTGGAACTTGTGGTTGATAGTCAGGGGCAGGCTATAAAAAAAATGGCAAAAGAGGTCATGCTAATTATTGATGAGTGGGATACTATCATTATTACTATCATCAATCAACTTGGACAATTCTAGCAAAAAAAAAATCAACTTGGACAAAAAAAAAAAAAATACATCGTCAATATGATGTGGGGGCCAACACGATAAACTTTCAATGTCTGGGATGATGGGTAAACGGAAATTCTCCTGTGCAAAGTGCATCTATGGAAGTACTACAATGAGTAACGGAAATATAAATATGCGCATTCCTTGGAAAACCATTGAGATTTTCCACTTCACCTCTAGATCTAGTGTACTTGTAGAGACAACATACAATTAGTTTTTCGTGCGAGTATAAGTGATAAAAAAACGTGCAGAGTACACGTTTTGCCTTTGTAGGAACAGAAGTACATTGACATTGCTCAAATTGCTTACTATATGTTGTTGCAGTTGAATGAATAATATTTAGCTCTACTTTCTTTGACGTTTTTATTTTTACGTGTAGATGGGTTCACTAAATGCATTATGTTTTGCTTATTTTGCAGAAAACTGCATCTTTCCAACCGTAATCCTTTCTTGTTTGGGAAAATGTTGTTCATTTCATAATTAACTCATTTCTCCTGTCCAATCTGCAGTCAGCAGAGGATCTTTGCGGGGCAAGTGTTTGAGTTGCATAGGCTAATAAAGGTATACCTTCTCTTGCTGACTCAAAGTTGCTCTGCCTCTTATCCAATGGATCTATCTCTATCTTCTTGGACATGGTTTTAATAAGCGAACCTGTGGTACCCTTTTGTTTGTGTGATCCAGGTGCAGAAACTTCTTTCAAGATCTCCTCATCTGCTCGAAAGTAGTCTCTGTTTTGGGAAGCCTTTAGTAGAACTCCATGCAGTAAAGTCAGTTCCATCCGAACGTCTCATAGAAGCAACAACACTGCTGAATAGCAATTCGCTAAGCACCCAAGAGAGGAACGCAACCTCAACGGTAAAACTTCCTCTTCCTTCAAAAAATAGTGACTTCAGCAAGAAGCTCGGTGAGCGACCAGAACAAAGCCATAATTCAGAAACTTCAAATCAAGCAGCTTGCAAACCGGCCCCGTGGTGCTTCCCACCCATTGGAAACCGGTGGCTAGTTCCTGTGATGAGCCCCCCGGAAGGGCTCATTTATAAGTCCTATTCTGCGGTGTGCCCTCCAGGAGGAGGCGCTGTTGGACCCCTTTATGGCGGTTGCGCGCCTATAAGCTTCGATTCCAGGGGCAACGATGTAAGCACGACATTTGGTATCCCGGCTTCCCACCAACAAGCCATGGGAATCCTTCCCAGGGTTCCTCCAGTGGGCCAAACCTTCTTTCTGCCTTGGGGAATACCGTTGATGAATCCACCCGTTGCTAGCTCAGCCGTCGAACAGATGAGCAATCCGTTTATTTTGGGCTCTCAATTAAATCCGCAGGTCAACCAGTGGTCGACTGGGAACGTCAACTTCAGTCAACCGCACCAGAGTTCCTGCAACGTGTCGATTCAGGTAAGTCGAGTAATCTCGTGTCGTGGCAGCAAAAGTCAAACTGTGAAGGAAAATAAGCTTCAGGGAAGTACTGGAAGTAGTCCCCCCGATAGGTTAGGAGGAGCTGCGCTTCCTCTCTTTCCTACAGATCCAACAAAGTCAGATCATAAAGCGCAGGTGCATTGCAGCAACCAGCAAGAAAAGGTGATCAAGGTTGTACCTCATAACCCGAGGTCGGCCGCGGAATCGGCAGCTCGTATCTTCCAATCAATACAAGAAGAAAGGAAAGAAACGGCATGAGTAGCCCATTTTCATGTCCCAGATAATTACTGTATTAACTAATACCTGCTAAGCAGAAAGTGACCAGAGGGCCTAGCGCCTCAGTCGAACATATGGATTTTTTTTTGGGTCCGTGCTACCTGACTTATTCTTCAAATGCATATATGCTTCTGAGTGGTTGACAATGAAATTTCTTCGAGTCTTATCTTACAATGACAAGCGTGTTGTATGAGCACAGGCTCTTAGCATTTAGCTCTTGATTTGAGTGGCCGAGAAGTAGGAGCTATGTGGAACAGTTTGGCAGTTGCTGGAGCATTGAAAACAATGGAGTGTTGTTTAGCTGAACAGTAGTGAAAAAAGGAAAGAAATGAAATTACAGAGAATATGGAGTTGGGCCAATTTAAGAGCCCGTTTGGTTCAACTTTGCAAATGAGACTTGGGGAATGTAAATACCTTTAGGTTAAAGCCCCTTGGAGAAATGCAAATAATGTTTGGTAAAAAATCCTTTGTGAAGCTATTTTGGCTCAAATAGTATTTAGCAAATTTTTTTTGCAAAGGGCTTTGGGAATTTTCTTTTTTATTAAAAAAAAACTTACTTTACCCTTCGCCGGAGCCGGCGAAGGCCTACGGCCGCCGGTGAGCCAGATCTGCCTGCGGCGGCGCCTGAGCGGTCACGCGATCTCAAGCGGCCATCACCTGGGTTGTGCGACCTCGCCGGCCTCTCGTCGACCCGATCCGGTGTCGGCTGCCCTTGTCGGCCACCCTCGCGCAAAAGATGAACAGTAATAAGAGGGGCAAAACTGGAATAAACTAGAATAAGTGAGGGTAGTTTGGGAGCAAAAAAGTTGATTTCAACATTGGCAAATGCTAAAAGCCCAAAACTGATCAAGATCAGGTTTTAGCTTTGAGCATTTTCAATACTGGCTTTCGGCCGAAAGCCTATTGGGAATGCCTGCCAAACGGTTGAGAATTTCCTCAATCGAAAGCCCCTTGGAGAAATGCTGAACCAAATGGGGCTTAAGTTGGAATACGATTTAGGAGAGTATTTATGAACTGCTATATCCGAAAGTTTTGAAAAATTAATGAAAGAATCAATGCGCGGTTTTGGATGAACTGAAGTAAAAGAAAGACGCAGATATTGCTCCCCTTTTTCTTCCCCTTTTGTTATTGTCAGCAGTATCTACATTAGCTTTATGCATGATATTAAATTCATCTCTTTTCGACCAAAAAATAAAATAAAATTCATCTCTTCCAGCGTCGGAATAAGAATAAAGTCTTACTGACTTTCTCTTTGTTAAATCTCGAGAGGTTACATACACAGAACTAGAATCAAATCCGGCATCTCGTGGTACGCAAAGCATACAATTCTCGCGTTACCTTGTGAACTCGAGCTTTACTTAATTGGGTATTAACGGCTAAACCGTGAACCGTGGAGAGTTCCCATATAAGATCTCAAGAAATGGGGAAAAAGAAAACTTTGAAGCCCAAAAGCAGAGTCAAGTCAGCAGACAAGGCACCAAAGCCATCAAGAAACTGCCCATGAAACGTGTCCCATTCCATTCTAGGTTTCTTCGTCTTTGGCCCAACCGACCCTCACCCTGCTTGCTGTCAAAACTCAAAGTCACGTGGTCCAGGTTCAAACCCAAGACAAGTACAACATTAAGAAGTTTCAAAGCAGCGCCACGTATTGAGAGGGACAAACAGAATTCCTCCTTAAACCCCTCTCTCTCTCTCTCTCTCTCCCTCTCTCTCGTGAGAAATGCAGCCGCAGACATTCGGATTCGCAAGTGGCTGGCCATTCACGAAACTGCCGGAAATTTAATAATGTGTTGAACAGTGCGCAATTCGTTGATCGCACCATTTCAAAATTTGTTGGGTATGCAATCGCGTGACGTCTTGGAATCTGTGCGCCCCATTACAAAAAAGCAGCCCACATGGTAACCATGATCTGTCTTTCTCTCTCTCTCTCTCTCTCTCTCTCTGAGTGCGCGTGCGTGTAGTGTTCATTTCTAATGTCTTGATTGGTGCTTAGTCCAGGAATCTCAGCGAGGGCTGTCTGCGTTAGAACATCACTCATTGTTTGGGGAAACTTGCTCTTCAGCTAATGCCCATCTAGCGAAAGAGCTGATCTTTTTGTTGCCCATTTGAAAAAGAAGATTGGGTCCTCCTGATTTTGTTCAGGCACAACGCAATATCGCCTTTCTTGCTTGAGGAAATTAAGGACATGTCTAGAGAGATGTGGGTTCTTCTGGGATCTGTCCATAGGAGACGTTGGTCCATGTAATGAGCATTTGCTGGGCGAACAGACATGCAATCAAGGGCGGTGGTGATGGAGGAAGGGAAGGAAGCCATTGCCGTTCGAGCAACCCAATCTAACTCTAGGGTTTTTCCATTGCGGGTTCTCCAGTTCTTCGTGTTGTTTCTATTCGTCGGTCTCGGATTTTTTGTTGTTAGCTTGTATGCTGTGAAATATTTTAATGTTCAAGGTCGAATTCTCGTTGCTCCGGTGGCGGAGTCCAACATAAGACCTTGCTTTGAAGAGTCCAGTAGGTTGTGGAGTTGGATTAGGCCACCGTCGAATTTGTTGCATACCATGAACGATTCTGAGCTGTTTTGGCGGGCGTCTTTCATGCCACGGATAAAAACTTACCCATTCAAGAGGAAACCCAAGATCGCGTTTATGTTCTTGACAAAGGGTCCGCTGCCACTGGCACCTCTCTGGGAGAGGTTCTTCAAGGGGAACGAGGACAAATATTCCATCTACGTCCACTCGCTTCCATCTTACCACGCCGATTTTCCGCCAACATCGGTCTTCTACCAGAGACAGATCCCAAGCCAGGTATCAGCAAGCTTTGACATCAAAGTTCATGTTTCTCTGTTGAGTTTAGTTTCTTTCTCATCGACAAGCACAGTGAGAATTTTTACTCCTGTCCACCACGAGAAAGAATATGAATTCTCCCTCTTTCATATGACGATACAAAGGCTGTTGAAGCCTTTTTCTGTGTATTTGGTTGCATAAGTTCTAACAATGTGTTGACACTATGACTATTGCAAATTGCTGGTTATGTTCCTATTGTTCCTTAAGGGTGTTTCAATTCTAGCCTTTCTTGGGGATTCATGGGAATTGTGGTTATTCTAGTTGGAGATGCAGTCAGTAGTCCATGTTACCGGGGCTAGTCTGCTTCCTAGGACCTCCCTTGTATTCGTGCTATTAAGTTATTTTAGTTACGCAATTACTAATCTGCATTATGTATTCATGGGAACTGTGGCTTATTTAGTTGGAGATGTAGTCAGTAGTCCGTGTTACCGGGGCTAATCTGCTTCTTGGGACCTCCATTGTGTTCGTGCTATTAAGTTATTTCAGTTAAACAATTACTAATCTGCAATTTGGATCATCTGATTGCGGACTATTTCAATCATTAGCTAATGCTTGACTTTTTTCCCTGGTCCTGTTAGATCTTTATCTGAAGAATTCATGCATGTAAAAATGCAGAGCCTAACTTTTGATTCGTTGTTTACTACAAGTTACCATTTTTCTAAATAGAAAAAAAAAAAATTGCTGGTCTTTTGCTATGCTGCTGCTCTCAGTAGAATTCTCTTAAATAAATTTTTGAATAAGGAGAAAAAGGGAAAAGCTGAACAGGAATATGGTTGGGTTATTTCCCACTTTGGGAGATAATTCGCGTTTCCTGCCTTATTTATGCTCACGACCAAAGGCACAAGTCAAGCGTCCCTTATAATTTTAGCTGTTAAAAAGGTTTATCCTTGATTTGCTTGTAGATTCATTCTTGCTAACACTTGGTAAGAAAGTAAAAGCAGTTTCTTTGTCAGAAGGTAGGAGTGGAGAAGAGAAGCTTTCCAAAAATAGCTCTTCATTATATCAAGAAGGATTGCATCGTTCATATTTGAATTGTAGTTCACATAATATTGAGGGCAACCATTTTGGCTATCGCATGTACAGATGGATGGATGTACTTTTGAATAGGGAAAAGAAAGTTTAGTTCTACTATCACAGGGAAATGTCGAAAAGCACTTGCACTTGGTGCATGACCTCCTCTTGTAACTTAAGTTGCTCGGTTAAATTAGAATTGCTTCCTGCTTAACAGTGTTGAGATTACTTTTATGGAGTCTTGCGATAGGCAAAGAATTCACAATAATCAGGATTGATCATACCTTTTTTCATCATGAGAAAGGTTGATGGACTGCCGTATTTATCTCATTTTTGTTTGAACCCCTAAAATGACTCTGCATATGGATTTATAGAGAAATCGAGGGTAGGACTAAGACAGATTATTTTTATTGATACTGGCAGTATAGTAGCATAAATCCTGGCGAGGAATGCGCCAAGTCTTTGGTTTATAAATGATTCTTGATGATATTATTTAATAAAAAAGAAGAATGATCTGTCTTTTACCCCATATACTTGGGTTTAAGATGGCTCATGTGTGATGATAGGTTGCTTCACTTGCTGCTTATGGCAATAGCAAATACAAGAAGATGATTCTTTCCCTTATCTTGAGCTACCTCCTCACTGTAAAACCAAACATGTCAATATATATGTAAATAATCAAGTTATCTCCTGGAGTTATTCACTTTTTGTGTTAAGTTTCTCTTACTGTTAAGTGTAATTATCTTCATCATTCAAGAATAAGACTTTTAAAGCTTCGTTGAGAGGTTGCTCCATGATATATGATTATCCTAACAAAATGAATATGGTGCTATTTGCCCAAGCCATTCTCAAGAAACTCACTGTCCTGTTTGTTTTTAATTTGTGCCTGCCAGACAATAACCACATGTAGGATGAAATTCTCAAGCTTTTGATGGGGAACTCTCATATTCTTATCACCTTAAATATTTACTGTGCAGGTGGCGGAGTGGGGGATGATGAGTATGTGCGATGCTGAGAAGAGACTCTTGGCTAATGCGCTTCTTGATATATCCAATGAATGGTTTGTCCTGCTGTCTGAATCTTGCATTCCTCTACAAAACTTCAGCATCATCTATCTTTACCTATTGAGGTCCAGGTACAGCTTCGTGGGCTCGTTCGATGAACCTGGGCCTTATGGAAGAGGTCGCTATAACGAAAATATGGCCCCTGAGGTCAACCTCACTCAGTGGCGTAAAGGTGCTCAGTGGTTCGAAGTAAACAGGAAACTTGCTTTGGACATAGTTGTAGACACCAAGTACTACCCCAAGTTCAAAGATTTCTGTAGACCGGCTTGTTATGTGGATGAACATTACTTTCCCACGATGTTGGCAATTCAGTCCGCTCATCTTTTGGCAAATCGGAGCCTCACTTGGGTGGACTGGTCGAGGGGCGGCGCTCACCCTGCTACATTCGGGAAGGCCGATATAACCGAAGAATTCTTCAAGAAGAAAATTAATGAGCGTGGCACTTGCTTTTACAATAACCAACCTTCTTCACTGTGTTTTCTCTTCGCTAGAAAGTTTGCTCCCAGTGCTTTAGAACCCCTTCTAGATCTCGCATCAAAAGTTTTTGGCTTTTGATGGATGCTCTCGACTAACGAGACGGATATCAATATTTTTCTAGCAGTAGAAGTTATATTCTTTATAAGCTGAGTCATTGATAGCTAAATTCATTGTATTAGTATCAAAATTGAGAGGGTATTTTTGTATGTTGCGAGTATTCTTGATGTACATAGGTCAGAAGAAGGTACCATTTTGGCTTACCTTGGATTTGGGTTCGAGTTCGTAGAAAATTTTATATAATGCTTCTATAAGATTTATATTGAGAACTTTTATGTTGGAGGAAACACAATGTGCAATGAGATTTGATGATACGGAATCGGATTGTTTGCATCTTCTGGGTGTGGCAATGTTGTTCCTTAATCTTACAGGACAATTGGATTAGCCAAGAGGCTCCTGGAACAATCAGGGGTTGAGGGGGAGTGCATTTTGGAATCTGTATTTGATTTTCATTTCATTCAGATTGAATTAGCTAGAAGGCTCTTTGACAATTGTTGTATAATGTTGATGGAAATTTTCTTACTGTTATGATTATCTTCGGAAATCCAGAACGAACTTCCGGAAGATCAGCAAGTGAAAATTTCCATCTATACATGGCTGTCCATGGAGAAAATGCGGACATGAAAATTTGGGAATACTATTCTTCATCACTTGTTTATTTAAACCAATGATCATCCTTATAATTCATCTCGGCGCCCTCCCTCGACAGACAGGAACTTTTGCTGTTGATCAAGAAGATATCTAATAGCCAGAGATGCATGAAGCGCAGAACCATAAGGAAGTCCGTCTTCGTTTATCTTGAAATAGGGCGAGTGCCCCGACTCGTAGTGTTCGCCTGTATCAAACCCTATTCCGAGGAAGAAGAAGTAGCCAGGTATCAGTTCCTGGTAAAACGAGAAGTCCTCTGATCCCATCATTGGCTGCATATCATTGATATTACTAGGGCCGAGCAATTCGCCAGCGACTTTCTTGAAGTGCTCATGCAAGTAGTCGTCGTTTATGGTCGGTGGGAAGAAGGGCTTTTCCTCTGAAAAGAAATGAACGGTGGCATGGCACCTCTGAACAGCAGCTTGCTTGGTTACAACCTGGAAAGGCCGAACAGATCAATTTCGTCGCAGTATGATCGGTGCGTGAATTGGAGTAAATATGGCAAAAAAACAGTCATTAACGCCTTTGTTGAAAAAATAGGAGCAACATATTTCTGTACTTTAGAAGACTCAAAAGTGTCAGTTTCATTGCTAAGTAGGGTGTGAAGTGCTGAACCTCCTCAATTCGCTGCTTTAGATGCATAAAGCTCTCTTTTGAAAAGGCTCGAAAGGTGCCGCCAATAGTAACAGAATCCGGAATAACATTATATGCTCCACCTCCTTGGAATTTTGCGACCGTCACAACCTGGAAATGCACCGATAGCATCAGACGAAAGTTTGAATATCAAGAACTGAGAACGGGATCAACCATCCTTTCCGTTAATTCCAAAAAAAATCTCCAGAATTTCCTTCTACTTTTTTAATTAGACAGAAGTTACTTGAAAGTTAGGCATCAACATTAAACAGGACAATATCTTCACAAATAAATTCGTCGAAGTACCTGAGAGTCCAGAGGATCAGCTTCCCGTGAAATGAGATGTTGTAAGCTAACAACCACACTAGATGCTGCAAGTATAGGATCTATTGAGTGCTGAGGAATTGCAGCATGACCACCTTTTCCGCTTATGACCGCTTCGAAGAAACCGCTCCCAGCCAAAAGAGGGCCAGGCCTTGAAGCCACTACACTAACAGGCAAATGAGGTGCAACATGTAGCCCAAAAATAGCATCTACATTCTCAAGTGCCCCGGCATCGATCATCTTTTTAGCTCCTCCACCACCCTCTTCCGCCGGCTGAAAGACAAGTACCACTGTGCCCTGGTGACGTAAAATGTACGCATGATATAGGGTAAGATTAACTAAGACAGAGGATCCGATTTACATGTTTCAACTGTAATGATACAGGTAAACAAAATGAAGGCCTAAAAAGATGTAAAAGTTGAAGTATGGAGCCCTTGGAGCTTATAGAATACTTGATACAAAGTCCAGCCCAATGGTGTTAAAAGAATTCATACAGTCGACCCCATTTAGTGCAATAAGGCTAAATTTGTTCCTGTTCCTGTTGTTGTTGCAAATGTGAAAAGAGACGACTCAGATACGTTTAACGGGTTGACACAGCAAGAAATCTCTCACCGCGGCAGCCCCCAGACAACCATTTCGTTCGCTGTTTTTCATCGAAACCATCCAACATAGATTATGGGCCAACTTACGAGTCAGGTCAATTCAGTATCATCCTTACTCATTGAACACCGATGTTTTAAGCAACGAAGCCAGGGTGTCTATCATAAAAGAAGTGTGTAAAACTTACTCGTATCTCTTCCTGATGCTCTCGAAGGATCTTTGCAGCACCAAGAAGCATTGCAACGTGAGCATCATGTCCACAAGCATGCATTTTCCCAGGAACTTTGCTCTTGTGCTCCCACTCCACCATTTCCTATTCAAGGACAAAAGGCTCAGTGCAAATTTAATGAATGACCATCATAACCATCCAATCATGGCTCTAAGCGAATAGAATTCACGCGCTCTATGCACTAAATTTTATGTCCTCAAACTTCAGCTACTCTTTCGACCAAAAAATAAAATAAAATTTAGCTGCTCATTGAAAAGAAAATGTGCTTGACAGAGACCCAATGTAGGACCAACTTTCATAAAGTTTTCTTTCTCACCCTGAAACCATTTCTACAAAAAATAAAAAATCTCAAGCTCTAGCCTTTCTAATGACCAAGTGTAAATCCACCAGAATACCAATAGCCGAACAAGAAAAAGAAGAGCACAACGTAGCGGAAGAAGCAGTAAGGAAAAACGATAAACTAAACCTGCAAGAGAAGAGCGTCCATGTCGGCCCTTAAAGCGACAAAAGGAGGCTTGCCAGTCCCAATGAAGCCAAGAACTCCAGTTACGGCAAGCGGGTGCGTGTATCGAATCCCCATTTTGTCTAATTCTGATCTTATGAGCTTGCTGGTCTCAAACTCTTCGTAGCCCAATTCAGGGTTCTCGTGTATCTTCCTCCTAATGCCAATCATCCACTCGGAAAAATCTCGGCTTTTGGCGAAATCGAGCAACTTTTGGGGTAATCCCGGCGACCCATTTGAGCTCAAGGAAGAATCGGATGAGAGGCAAGGCGTGCACAACAGGTCGAGAAGAAAAACGAAGAAGACCCACCTGGGAATATCCATGGTTTTTCTCCAAAAGAAGAGTCTTTTTTCTCCCCCTTTCCAGAGAGGCGAGAGCAGGAAGGAGGTGGAGGAATCAGATGGGAAGAGAGTCGAGCTTTTGATGAAGGACTGGGACAAGCAGACCAGCCCCGTATTTAAAGATTTTTGTTTTTAATTTTAATTTTTTTATTCTTTTCTTTTTAATTCTTGTCACTCTTTTGGGCGTTTTGGATCAGTGATATCGAAGCAATTGAAGAGAGAGAGAGAGAGAGCCAATTGTGCATGAGACGTGAAAAAATGGGAAAATGTCAAATAAGGATTCAAAGTGGGTCTCTTTTCTCAAATAAGAATTTCAAGTGGATAATATTTCAATTAAGGACTCAAAGTACCCAAACTAGTCTCAAATAAGGACCCAGCTCGCCGGCCGGCACTTTGGATCCTTATTTGACATTTTCCCTGAAAAAATAGAACACGAACCCGAAGGAGAAAAAGTTTTCTAATGCGTGATGTACAAAGAAATGTGCACGATCATCGCCAAAAGTAGAGAAACCAATGATCAAGAGCACTTGAAGATCAGCGATATATTTTGGATGTATTGCATTGCAGAATGAATCTCTTGATAAGGAACTGATTAGCATGCCTCGATTAGGCGTGCAACGCTAGGTTTTTTTTTTTCACATACTATTAAATGCAAGCACTTTATATATTCGAGTCACTCGCTCGGATTTTGACGCATGTCTAATTTAATCCATAAAAGTCAATGAAATTATTTCGTGAACTCCAATTGATCTACCTAAAATGGACTTTCATATGATGAAAAATAACTTTTCGTTAGTTGATTGCTATATGTAAAAGGAAGTGTGATATGATGTATATCCTCCATATTCGCGAGTCATCTAAATCTTCGACTGTTTGATTTTTCTTTTCATTAGATGTGCAATCGAGGACTCATGACAAGTTACCCACCTAAAAGCACATGTATGCTTCGTTAATTACTTGATATATATGAAATTAAAGGAATATTGCGCTCTTGAAAAATCAATCGAACGCCCTCAAAACCGCCACTAGCCCTTATAAAAAACAGAGCAATGACAGAGCATCATCTTCTTCATACCCACGATGACATTCAAATCCAAGATATTCTGTCGTTGGAGGACTTACAAAAAGTCTTCGCAGCGTGCTGGATTTCATTTCAGCACGTGGTTGTTGAAAAGATCTCGAGGTATTATTACATTGCAAAGTACAAAACAAAACCAAACACGGCCCTGTCGGGAAAGTGGGTGGAAACCAAGAAGCAGCGATACTTCCATTCCCATGTCAACTGTCAACTGTCAAAAGCTTGGTGTTTGGGTACATCATTACTGCTCTCGCGTTTCATCAGATCAAGAATCGATACATCGCTGTCGCCACCTGTTGAAGCCAATCTTCTCAGCGCCGTATAATATTATTCATCATTTCTTTCGTCGCAAATTGCACCAAGCCATGCGTCATGTTTGGTTTGGAGAATCCCTTCGCCTTTACGTGAGCTGTGACTGTTGATTCCACGATGAGTTGTCGTTTTGCATTTGTTTCTGTTTGAGCCACAGATTATTTGATAAAACATATGATGGAACATGCGCATAATAAGATGTAAGATTTTTTCAAAAGCAGCAGACCTTAGTTGACGCTTGTTATTTTAATATCGGGATGGAATCATTGAAGTATGCAAATTGGCTTTTGTTTGGAAAATATAATATATAGGAAAAAAAAAAACGTGCGAAACAAAACCGATATCAATCCTACAACAAGTGGCTTCAACTTTTGCATGATTCGTATTTTTTTTTTTATATTTTTTGCAGCGCGAGTGTTTGACTTTTTAGTACGATATTTCAAAAACATAGAGTTGAAGAAATAGGTGTGATCATTCAATACCGCGGTAGGGATCTGGATGGAGTAATCATGAAAACGGTTCATTGATCGAGATTTTTATGATACACAGAGATTGACGCGCGGATTCACGTGAAACTTTTGAATGATTTTTAAGATTCCGAGCAATATTTTAGCTCGTAGAAATAGTTGTTTGTTGCTCTTCTAAAAAGTCAAAACGTAACAAGCAAATGATCTAGCCTAGAAAGAAAAATTATTTCTTCATGGCTTTTACCTATTGGCACTATGTAGCTGGCGGGTACAGGCCCATTGGGCTTTCAGGCCCACGAGGCCCACGGCTGGTTTTCTCTCTGTTTTTTCTGTTTTTGCCCTTGTTTTTGGGTGATCAGAGCTGCAGCTTATGTGAGAAGAATTCAGAAATCATGGGAACCCCCGAGCGCTGCACACGCACAAAACTGGAAGGCAACCCTTTTTTTCTGCCATTGCTTTCTGACACTACTGCCTCGTGCATGGACAGAGAGTCCCAGGTACGCAAGACATTCCTTTTCTTCCTTCTTTCGGGCATTGTCGTCGGGACTCTGTAGATTCCTCCGTTCTTCTTTACCGGATCAATGTTGGGCATGTTGGTTAGGCATCTCGTCTCACGAGGGGGTTGTATAAAGATGGAGACTTTGTTGGTGTTTTCCGTTGGTTAAGCATCTCGGGTCATGTGAGGGTTGTGCCGGTTTGGTGGACTTGACCGTGGTACACTTGTTAGTTGCGCACCTCATCTCATGAAAAGCTGTGTTACCGAATTGAAACTTTGTTGGGCTTTGCTTCTTGATTTGTTCTCCTCCTTGTGTTTATATAATGAACCCTGTGGTAGTGTGGCTTCTCTTGGATGCACCTCAATGTCAGCTTCTGGGTTATTGTTCGAACCCTAGTTCAGTTAGGTGTCGGTTGTGTTTTCGCCTTTTTGTTTACCTGATAGGCTGATACTCGTCGAACTTCGTTTATTTGTGTTGTCAACAGATACTATTGATTCTAAATTTTGACGTGCTTATATTATCACGTTAGTTTGCAAAGTTTCCGCAAATTGTCATATAATCCAATCTGATCGTGGGTATTGGTTGCTTTTTTCCGTATAGTAATATACATGTCCTCAACTGTAGATGCCCAACAACTTTTGCGGCGAAAAGCCCGCTGTGGTAAAGAGAGAAAAGTTCGATCGAATGTCGGTCAGTTGATCGATGACCCTGAAGATGAGATATCGGAAGTGGCCTTACTTCGTGGAGAGGAAGATTTAGAATGTTTGGAGACTGCGGGTAATGATGAATTTGGGACCCAAAGTGGGACAAGCATGGAGATAACTGACAATATCGGTTATTCCAAGGACGAAAGTTCACAAGCATCACGAGGTCAATTAAAGCAAAAGAGGGAAGGCGACATTGATGACAGAGAGACTTTTGGTCATAATGGGAAGAGATTGAAGATGGATACATGCACTAGTAATGAGACAGTCAATTCCAATGATTGGATCTCAACGTTGCCAGAACATATAATTCATCAAATTCTGTCACTGTTGCGTAGTCCGAAAGAAGTTGCGCGAGCTACCACCTTGTCCAAGAAATGGAGAGAAATCTGCTCCTCTTTCTCCATTCTGATGTTCGACCAACGGAAGTTCACAAAAGCAGAGAAACATACTGGAAGTAGTAAGCAGCAGGAGTTTAGGGAGAAAACAGAAGTGTTCATGAATTTCGCCTCTCGCTCCGTGCAAAGTCGTCTTCAGGGTGGATATCATATGGAGAAAATTCAGTTCCATATGACATACTGTGATGCGGATTTTTGGTATAGGATCGCTAATTGGTTAAGTCTCGTGGCCAAAAGCAATGTCCGACAGCTGGATCTCCACTTTCCACACATGGAAAATGGACCTTATAATTTGCCTCAGAGTCTCTTCTCTTCCTCAGCAATAACTAGATTAAAGTTGTTCAATTGCAACCTAGGAACGCATGTGGAGATAAAGCTACCAAATTTGAAGGGACTTTGCCTTGGCAAGCTCTATATTAGTGACTGTCGTGTTCGGGATCTGATCCGCTGTTGCCCTTTGATCGAGGACTTGAGGCTCATACACTGCACCGGGTTGGAGGAACTACTGGTCTCTGGCCTTGCTCAACTTGATAAGCTTGAGGTGCATTGCTGCCCTAAATTGAAGAGTATCCAAGTTGACGCACCGAATCTTCAGACATTCCGGTATTGTATTGAGCAGCATAACCCCGGGTCCTGGCCCTTTAATTTGTCTTTGGCCACTTGTAGATCTTTAAAGTCGATAGCCCTAAAGAATGCGGCGTTGACAGATGAAATGTTCCAATCATTTCTCAACAATTGTCCTTTACTGGAAACCTTGGAACTAAGCAATTGCAATTCCTTGAAAAGTGTCACGATATTAAGTAAGGTACTGAGACGTTTAGTCTTGAGACAGTGCAGAATATTACTTGATGCTGAGATTAATGCCCCAAACCTTTGGTTCTTAAAGTTTGAGGGAAATAAAATGCCTTCCTTGTCATTGTTACCCTCTGATCTGAAGGAGGTAAAAATTACTTTAAAAAAAGTGGCGTGGAACCTGCTACTTGGTAGTAACGAGGACCTCTGGTATGATAACTGGCGTTTATTTCTAGGAAAGATCAATCATTCAAGAGGAATGAAATTGGTCCTCCGCTGGAAGGAGGTATAGTCTCAGTAACTTTTGTCTTTGCCTAATGTTCTAATGTGCAGGAATAACAGTCTGACCATTGTGTATTCCTATTTCTGGGTCTTCCTTAATTCAACTCTGTTGTTTTGATTAGAATGTCATCATTCACGAAGACCTCAGAGACTTCTCGCCTCCTCCAATAAAGAATCTTGATCTCGAGATTGTTGACTCTTCCAGAGGGTTCAAAAACATACTAGAGAGTTTGTTACGGACTTGGCATCCCAAGGCTGTCATTGTCGTATCATCTCCTAATAACACATTACCAAAGGTTTGGTTTCTTACCTTGTCAGCATAGATATGACCGTCGGAACTGGTATGATGTTTGAATTGAATTTCTCTCTGTGTTTATCTGTATCTATGGTGAGTAACTCTGACTTGCTCCTCTGGCTTTTGCCATGGCATCTGCAGCTGATTCTTTCAATAGATTATGCAGACATTGCACACGGGTTCTCTTTCTAGGCATGCTCTTATTATCTTTCTACCTCTATTTATATTTACGAAATTCTCTAAACATCTGATGCAGCTAGCACATGGTTTGTTGATGGAACGAGATAATCGTCTGAGTTGCTGCGGATTTGTCTCGTATGAGAACAAATGTTGGAGGCACTTTCTAGAAAATGTCAAGACTTTAGACATCGGATTGGCTGGAGATGAAAGGACTAGTAGCTGGATGTCCTTGTTCAAGTCATCTCCAACGGTACTGCAGAAATCAACTGGCTTTACATTGGATTGGAAGCCCAGAACACGTACCCACAAAGCGAATCCCCCGAGTGAATCTGATCAGTGATTTGCTTATTTCATAGTTTTTTCCTTTTTTCTTTTTGTGGAAACGTGCACGATTGACAAGGACATTTTTTTATCGTGCATAGATGGATTGCATTAGGCCATTATGTGAATGCCGGTTGTTCATAGTTGACTTACTGATAAAGTTAGAGGTTGCTGCTGATTATGGTTCATGCTAAGCGCATATGTGCAAAAAGCAGAAAAGAAAGAAAAATTTAGCTCGTCCACTATTTGTTAGACTAATGTCTAGAATCTTCATTGAAGCTTTATGCTTTCTTTTTCCAGACGGGTGAGAGTGAAAACAGATTTATCTGTTACCATGCTACTTGCGCATGCATCCATATCTGTGGCTTAGTCCTTGCTTTAGTGGATGAAAAGCGGGGTAAGAAGAGAAAAGGAAAGATGAATTGTCGAACGACAGCATCTGGGCTTGGGACATAGTTGCCCGCCAGAGACATCGGGGTACTGCCCATGGTGGTGATTCAAGCAAATTTGTTTGGTATACCTTTTTTGTTTTACAAGTGTCATCTTTGCTCACCGTTAAAATTTGAGAGGTCCAATTCTTATGCTCAAAGGCAAAAAGTTCGGATTCTTGGTTTCCAAGGTGGAATCTGATGCTGCACTAAGCCGTCCACACTCGATGCCTATATAGGTTGTTGTATGTGCATCATCACTTTCCACCCACAAGCAACAATATTTTTCACCTCTGAGCTTTGCATCTTGTTCTTTTATTTCCAGCTTCACTGCTTCAAGTTAGCAGTCTTCTTCATGGTAAGAAAGACCAACGTCATTTGCATTTCAGCAGGTGTCTTCTCCAATTTTCTTTTCTGGTTTGATTTCCGCATGTCCTTGTTTTCCACAAGTTCTCACAAAGCATTTTTTCATTAATCCTCTCTTCCCTTCTAACCAAGACACAACAGCTAATATCTTTTTAATATAATTAAACACCTCCAGTTGGATAAACAGTTTACATTCTTATAAGTAGGTGTTGTGACTTGACGAGGATCATCCTTCAAGATGCCTACTTTGGCTCAAAATTGAGCAGATTTCGCCAAACTCGATCGATGATAATATAGATACTTGATCAGGCGTTTTGCGGATAACCTTCGAAGTATACGATCAGACTCTGAAAACTAGTATGATTGAACATTAATAGAACAATATAAGAACAACCTACCGTCCGCATAGTTTTTCTTGTGCTATGTCACGAACTCGTCAATCGAATTACTAAGAATAAACTTTTGACCAGAAGATAAGATATTCGATATCCTCAACAGAGAGGCATGAAAGCCGATGACTAATGTTGCAGGAGGATAGGAAAGAGACTGGAAGCGAGAAGAAGAAGAAGAGCATAGAAGTCGGGCCATGGGGAGGAAATGGTGGAACTAGCTGGGACGATGGGAGTTACCATGGCGTGAGGGAGATCACTCTTGTTTTTGGCCATTGCATCGACTCGATCTGCGCGGTGTACGATAAGAACGGAAAGCCTGTGGCGGCGGAGAAGCATGGAGGTGTTGGAGGCAATCAAGCAGCTGAGGTTAGTATCTATATTCAAGAACTAAACCACCGCCAACAACAGTTTTTTAAGCATCAGCTGTAGAAGAGAACATGACATGAATTATCTGGGATGGCAGATTAAACTGCAGTTCCCGGACGAGTATTTGGTCAGCGTAAGCGGCTACTACTGTCCCGTGGTTCACGGAGGCAGTCCGGTCATTCGATCGCTCACCTTCAAGAGCAACAAGAGAACGTTCGGGCCGTTCGGGATGGAACACGGCACGCCGTTTTCTTTCCCTTTGGACGGTGGCCGGATAGTTGGATTCAAGGGCCGAAGCGGCTGGTACCTCGACTCTATTGGGTTCCATGTGTCCCGAGCTCAGCCACCGAAGCTACTTCAGAGAGTTCGCAAGACATTTCGGAGACTTGCTACTGTTTCGAAGATGACGTCCGAGGACGGAGAAGGTAGAGGCCCTTAAAGTATGCCTATGCATAGATGCGATCAATAAGCTGTGCTATTCAGACTGTCCCTTTTGTCCTCTAATTGTAGTAAAGAATAGTAACTTTTTCAAGTCATCCGTTCATCATGTTCCAGTTTGAGAGAGATCTATCCTGACTCGCCGTTCTTGTGTTCCAGTTCGAGAGAGATCTATCGGACTATATATGACTAGGAAACATAAGGTATACATCCCACATATCTATCGATATTTAACCAGCCTCGTTTCTTTTTCTATGCACCGCGGAGCTCCCTCCGACCAACAGAAGTGGCTCCCTCCCTCCGAAGACAAACTTACACTTCAGCTTACTCTTTTCCGCCCAAAAGTAGAGCTCTCTTTCACTTTACATAAGCAATATTTCTTGATTAACGAAGATGTGGGCGCGCTCATTTAGCAAGAGGAGGATTGCTAGGGGACGAAGATGCTACTAGATGTTGCAGTAAGAGGTACTCAAACGCCATTCTGTGAAAAAAATTTATACTCAGAGAGCATTTCATGTCGGAGAACATTAGGTCACTACCTGGCTCAGCAGTTTTATTTCCTCAACGTGCCCGTGGACGACCGCTAAAGAGCTGTCTGGATTTTCAGCTTAGCTGAAAGAAGACACCAGAAGACAGAGACCCAAAGCAGCTAATCGAGTTAAACAAACATCAACATGCTCAACCAATAGACCGAATTACGAATTTCCATGCTCTACAAACAAAGGTGGATCGAAGCAAACACTCGAAGGTATGTTACCTATGGCCAAGAGCAAAGAAGTCGCATCTATGTTCCCATTCGGATGAATTTACATGGCAAGAAGTCTTTAATTAGATTATAACAAAGCCCAAATACAGTATACCTCACATCACTTCCTAAAAAAATATTCTCACCCTCGAGCTTTAAGCTCGGCAAGACGCCTGGAGAGGTCATCCTCTTCGACCTTTTCAGATGCTTTGGTTGGCACGGCGTGTGCGCCCGGCTGGGGCAAACCAACCGACACCTCTAACCCGTAATCGTCCGCCACCTGTTGCATCAAGCTGTTCACCTCTCCTTCCGGAGTGGAGAGCGAGGTCGATCCCGCCATTGAACTTTCCATGAACTCTGCCTGGACCTCCATGTTTACAAACTGCTTCTCGAACTGGTCCATCGTCTCGGACATCTTCTGCAAATTACCTGGAGCAGGAGAACATCCAACGAGATTGACATTAGGACAAGACTGAAATCCCACTTTTTCCACTTGCTGGACATTAACACTCTTCAAACATACAAGCTCAGCTCAAACCAGCCGCGGATACCAACACCAATGATAGAAATATCTAACGACACTCGCAAGTGCAAACTTACGAATGGGATACATTGCACTCGGAGAGCTCTTGCACGCGACGCAAATTTGACTTAAAGCAGGACAAAGACAGGCTTTGCGAACATTCTGAGACTCGTAACTTCACATTCATAGACGCAGTAATGTCAATTTGACCTCAAGTATCCTGAACAAGTAATGCAACGCATGGTAATTTCACTTTCGCCCGACCGTACACGGACAGCGACAAAGAAATCAAGGAACTCTATAGGCTACTCGATCCACCACAGCACCTCTGATTTCTCTCGAAGCATGGCGGCACTTCCATCTCGCTAATGCTATAACTTTCGATCCCGGAGAAGGGCGCTTAGCGTGTTAAGGAGCACTCTGCAATCTACGCGGTGCCTACAATAGCCGAACGTCCTGAACCGTAGGGCAAAATCCACCGTCGAGGTGAAAGCCGAGCATCACAAGCGGCACCGACACGTTCGACACCGACAACGCGGGAAAAAGGTAAAAAGAAAGGGGGGGGGGGGGCAAATTTACAGGGCGATCGGAACCCTAGAACATACCGGTGGCGAGGGTGGACTCGAGGGACTTGACGATGGAGGCCATGGACTTGTTGATGGAGGTCATCTTGGCCTGGGTGTCGAGCCTGGCGACGACGGCGTCGAGGCGGGAGGCGAGGCGGAGGTAGTTGAGCTGCTCGGTGCGCTTGCGGATGGCGTTCTCGGCGTAGATGCGGGCGCCGTCCATGTTGCCCTTCTCGATGGCCTTCTTCACCTTGAGCTTCTCGGCCTTCTCCTCCTTGTCGCACTTGCGGGCCTGCCGCTGCAGCGACTTGGCGGTGAACTTGAGGTCCATGATCTGGTTCAGCAGCTTCTCCGTGCTCCCCATGATCGGATCGGATCGGTTCGGTTCGAGAGTTCGGGACGGGAGGATTTGTCGACGGATGAAGGTGCGGGATTTGACGGGGCGCCGTGGGACGCGTTTTCCCTCGTATTTGAAGGGAAGCTGGGGATTTTTAATTACATTTTTTTTTTAAGTACTTCGGAACGTGGATTTGACCGACCGTTGGTGGTTCACATCAGTGCCTGTGCACGAAGCTTCCGCCCGCGAGACACGCCAAGAGGAGGAGGACGAGAACATCAGCGAGCGTGCTCTTTTCTTACGAGGCCCGACTTACTAGCGATAACCGGTTTTAAAGTGGGATGATTTTCGCTCTGTAAATAGAGAACAAAGACCGTTCCCAGATTGTAGAATCGGGAATCTACCAATTTAGTCATGGAATCGAACCGGATCGATGCGATCCAGTTCTCAAGTGGATCTATGAACCGATCGAGATTTCTTTCTTTCTTTCTTTCTTTCTTCTTTCCTATTTTCACTGTCAAATATCCTCCGTATGCTCTAAATTCCTTCTTATAGATTGCCATCAGCAATTTGATCGCACCCTGAAACATGGAGCAGAAGAAGTTTAATCTTTACGACTCAAAGCGTATGGAAACTTACGCAACCACCTCCAAATCATTTTTATAAAAAAAAAATTGTCAATCCGATCCTCATGATTCGGTCTGCACTTGAACCGGAAACCAAACCTATCATCGGGAAACAGCTCCGAATTCAGTCGATCTGATTCCGGGCTCCGTCCTACACCTGACGATAAACCCGTGGTCGCACCCGAAGGAATTGAACATGAACGAGCGATGATGACGGTGACTCGAAGAGGCTCGACCGTTTTTGAAAAACACAGAAAGTTGCAGGCGCGCGCTCCGGCGCCACGTGTCGGGTCCCCTTCCTCCTTTGTTCCTCGTTTCATGCGTCCACCTGGAACGCAACGGCTCCTCCTCACTCGCTGACCCGACCGCCCGTTCGTTCGTCCGGACGTTTTTCTTCTTTCCTCTTCTTCTTGCTCGTTCTCCGTTCCGATGATAATCTCGTCCTTCCCAGGTTATCTTTGTCGAGAAGCGGTTTGTCATCTCCCTCGTTAGCTTCCAAAAGTAAATCTTGGGTTTTTCAGTTTCAAACTTTTTTGTTTTCTTGATCTTGCCTTTTTTAAGATCTCCAGGCGAAATCCCCATCTCCATCTTGCCTCAGCTGAGGTTCCTGGGCCAGTTTTGAACCCGAAGAGAGATCCTTTTTTTGCTCAAACCCCCATGTGCATTTTGGAAACCATCTTGCGAAAAGTTCTCAGCTTTGGCCTTGAAAGACCCGTTTCAGGAAATGGACCCGGCATTTTCCCGAGACATGCTCGGTCAGATCAGTAACAAGGCACAAGCCTTTCGCTGTTGATCTGCTGAAGTGGATCCAGTGTCTGGTGAGCGAGTCAGCTGGATAATGTGAGGTAGAGAAACATCTTTTCCATAGTAAAATGACGATTTCCTTTTGTTCCTTCAAATATGAGGGCTTTTGCTGAATTCTTGTCTTTGCGACGTTTCCAAAACAGAAAATGGCTGGGCATAGAGAGGAAGAGCCTGTTTATGAGATTGCGGTGGCAGTGCCAAAGAGGAGAGGGAAAGAAGGAGATGAGAGCGAGGACTGTGTGGAGGTTCTCGTGGATGAATTCAGGAAAGTGGGGTTGATAACTGAGAGAGTTGTTGGCATTGCAGATGAGTTCATCAAGGTGTGGTCTATCGATTGATTTGAACTTTTTTGTTATGTGTCGCTCCATCGCCGTAGTAGTGCATCATATGTTCAGGAAACTGCATTATCTGCTTCTAGGTCTGATTAGCTATTTGTTACTGGTATGTGTCTCTCGGAAGATTCATGGAGTAACTTGGGATGCGTGTATTCTGAATGTGAATTCCTATTGGGGGGGTTCTGTTGCAATGCTAGCTCTATTTCTAGTCTCATGTCGATTGGTTTGTTATACCCATTCTTGCTGTTTGGTGTTGCTAGCCCTGCTAAGTGTACTTATGTCCGCATATTACACGCATGAGATTTTGTTTACATGCGAGGCTGTGTTGAAGAGTATCCTTGTGTACAATGCTGGTGCATTTTCTGAAGTTAAAAACCCTTGCATCGGCAGCAGAAATTAGTATGGTGGACCCGGCATGCAGATCCTTTGTATACTAGCTGACTTCTGGACCATGCTCACTATAAGTCTTTAGTAATTTTTTATGCTTCCCTCTTGGATTTTCTCTAAACTGCAGCTACTTTCCCTTAGCTGGCAGCTCCTTTGGAAATTTTAGGAAGGACAGCCGCTGAGTTACGTATGAGGAAACCAACACATATTGGTTAGTACATGGCCCCTACCGCTTCTGCCTTTGCGTGATTGTCATATGGGTCGGCATTAAATGTGAGACTCTGGTGTTGATGTCAGGGATGGACTTGCAATTTGAGTGGGACGATGTCAATGCTTTTGTGCGACAGCCGGATGGTTCATTGTTCAGCTGGTGTGAGCGTTTTCATTTCTACCGCCACTTGATATACGGGATAGTAAGTTATTCTGCTTTATCGTCCCTATGAACTGCACTTTTTTAATTAGTCATCAGGCTCTCGTCTGTGATATGCTTCATGCTGCTTTGGGAGTAAGTAACATGTCTCATATGACTGCCATTTTTTATCATTTTGCCAAGTCGTAATCACTCTCGCGAGACATATAATGAAGGAACAATCAAATTTTATAAAGATAGCTATTGTTCTGTATTGCACTTGTTTCTGTACCTCTATCTTTCGTCCTTTTGAAAATTTGGATGTGTATGAATAGTGCAGTCAATTGTTGTCTGTGACCTTAAGAGCACTGAGAAGTCAATCAAGTCCTATAGAAATAGATCATCAGGAACATGATTGCAACATTAACGTCATGCCTCTAACTTAGACTTGCATATATATAGGTGAATAAGAGTCAGTCAGATGTTATTCTAAAGTGGGATGCTGAAGAAATCCACTGGGAGCCTGGTGAACCTTTACTACAAAGATTGGAATCAGAGAACATCGTCAAACAAGTGTTTCCTATACATGGTAAGCTGTTTGAGATCACCAGCAAGTCAATTCGCTCGTTATTTCTGCAGTTATATGACCTCTGATTTGCAGTTGAAACAAAGAGGAAAGAGCTTCTGAGAAGCTGGGCGTTGAATTGGTTGGACTTCACAAAACAGCCAATTGATGATATTTACTCTTACTTTGGCACAAAGGTAACTGCAGTGACATCAACCAGTGCAGTTAGCAAAAAATAGATAATTCACATTCTGTCATTATCAATAGATTGTCGTTTCCAGATTGCAGTCTATTTCGCTTTTCTTGGAATGTATACTCGGTGGATGCTGTTTCCTGCAGGGCTTGGGCTCATTTCACAGTTAATTGATTTTGGGTGAGTTCTACCTGCCCCTTCCATTGAGTGCAGTTTTGCTTTACTTTGTGCAATTTGGCACTGATATTTTTGGCTTTGACTTTTTTTTATCTTTCTTTAGGCCCTTCCAACTGCTAGTCCTCCCAATTTTCTTTGTAAGCATCACATTATGGGCTGTAGTGTTTTTCCAGTTCTGGAAGCGTAAAAACTCCGCCCTTCTAACCAGGTATGTTGGTGTAGTTTAAAAATGTTTCGGTGGCGATGTTAGATTGATTTATCATTATTGGACATTGTTTAATAGTATAAGGACTTCCCACTGTTGGAAACTTCTCCACCTTCTCTGGACCTGGTGGTGTAGTTGGCAGATCAGTTATTCAGTTGGAGCTGACCCTGGTTATGACCTGGGCTATCAGCTCTCTGGCAAAGAATGGAGCTCGGTACAGTCACCTGTGGAACTGGCTGTTAAAGAAGGGCAAGATAGAAGGAAGGATGAGGAAAAGTTTCAAAGAGAAGAATGGTTCGGAGCTTTTCTGAGGGTCAGGAACGATGCTATAGTTATCTTGAGTATCATATGCCTCCAGTTGCCATTTGAATTGGCCTATGCACATCTTTACGAGGTTGTTGGATCTGATGTTATAAAGTAAGAATAATCGGATCACTGAAGTTTCCGGGGTGTTTACTCTTTGCTAGAATTATACTAATTTCCATTGTTTGTTCATTCTGTTGTGTGGTCACCTTCCCTTCTCCTGTTGTCTCGACTTTTTGTTCAACACTCGTATATATCTCATGCTTAACAGCAAAATTGAACCACTCTATTTCCATGCAAAACATGTTCACGTTATGTAGCAGTTTGTCGGTTATTTTTGGTTCTTTCCCTCAGATACCAAAACATATTTATTCTGTAAGCTTGATACATGAAGGATCTGTCTTCAGTAAAAAGCCATGTAACCTTTTTATTCTGACACACGCCACCTCCATCACCATTGATATAGGTAGTAATATTGTTAGCAAGTAAGTAACTATTTAAATAAAGATGCTCGTGTGCGAAATGTTATGTAGCCTCTGTCGCATATGAAAGCCCATATAGGAAATTCCTTGCTAATTGATGGCTCTTCTTTCTTGTATATCATGTGATGGCTTCAGAGCCAGCCATTTTCTACTGAAGTAAATATTTCCCATAAGAAGTGGTTTTTAGGTTATCATCTTACTTTGTCACACATTCCACCCACTCAAAATTTATGGGGCAGAAGCTAATTAACACCTACACATAATAAAGTATGTTGTACAAAATCAAATCATTGCTCAAACATCATGACAGATGAATTTTAAGCTACCAATTCTTGAACTGGCTCTGTAAACAGTTCGAGCTTGAAGAAATGTATCCCTTGTTATAGTCAGTTTTCATGGTTTTTCAAGGTTCCACTTGAGAGTTCGACGACACAATACTAATTTGACTTTCATCAGGTTTGGGCTGACAGCCATCTATCTCTTCCTCATTCAGCACTTCACAAGGATTGGGGGTAAAGTATCGGTTCAGCTGATTAACCATGAGAAGAATGTTAGCAGAGAATACCGGGCTGATAGTTTGGTCTATAAGGTGGTTGTCATGTTTTATTATTGTTTTCTTTTGAAGAAGCCTTTATTTTTTTCTGGCCTTATGAGTAAGCTTTTTCTATCAACTTTGTCTTGCAGGTTTTCGGTCTCTATTTTATGCAATCGTATATTGGACTTTTCTACCATGCCCTTCTGCACCGGAACTTCATGACTCTCCGTCAAGTCTTGATTCAGCGCCTCATCATCTCAGAGGTGGAGTATCACAATCACAATTATATATTTTATGTGTTTTACACAGTTAAGCTAATCTTCTTCCGCCTGCCTTATCTCAGGTGTTGGAAAACCTTTGGGAGAACTCTTTACCCTATCTAAAGTACAGTTATAAGAAACACAAAGTTAGGTATGCCACCTTTATATACTTATTGGTCTCTTGATCTCTTCGTTAGTGTATTTTATTTAGTGAAATTTGAATGACCAACCAGCAGATCCTTTTTATTCACTTAGAAAGAAGAAAAGGGGTGAAAAAGGATCAACAAAGGGCAGGATTCAATTTGCATCGAGGGTAGAAAAGGAGTATCTGAAACCGTCCTACTCTGCAAGCATTGGGGAGGAGCTCGAGGATGGGCTGTTTGATGGTATTAAGTAATGTGCAATGTGCATTACATTAAGTAATAAGCGTGTAGAGCTGTGTCTCCAGTATTTCACTCTTAATGGTTCTCCCAACTTGCAATCGATTTTAACACAATATAACTCAGCAAGTTACTGCAAGCTCTCTTGTTATAATGTGAAAAATATTGTCAATAACATTATTTGACATTCTCATCCTAAAATAGACATCGCAGTTGGTGGTATTTACATTTTTTCGTTTTGTTGATACCATGTTGATGATGGAGAAACTTCCGATTCTTCTATACCTTGAGTTACCCTTCTAACAGTTGATCTGATTGCTTATCCTTGAATTCACAGACTTCTTGGAGTTGGCATTACAATTTGGAATGATCATGATGTTCGCTTGTGCATTCCCTCTTGCATTTGCCTTCGCTGCCTTGGTGATGATGCTTTTTCTGGTTCTTCATCTACGAGTGGTCACTACTATATTAAGAAACTGATGTTCAAGGTCTGACCTGTGCAGAACAACATCACCGAGATTAGGACAGATGCACTGAAGCTGTTAGTTATGATGAAGAGACCCGATCCTCGTGCCGCTGTGACCATTGGAGCTTGGTTGAATATATTTCAGGTACTCCCAGACCTCATGTAACATCTCACTATCTTAGTTCATCGGAATCCGGTACAAGCGAATGATGGTATTGATATTGGAAAATCTGTTTGTGGTTTCAGTTTCTAATAGTGATGTCCATATGCACAAATTCCGCTCTCCTGGTATGTTTATACGATCAGGAAGGAAAATGGAAAATTGAACCTGGACTCGCGGCAATCCTAGTCATGGAACATGTGCTCCTGCTCATCAAGTTCGGAGTTTCTCACTTTGTTCCTGAGGTGATCCCTTTTTTCCCTTCGTTGCTTTTATATACAGTTCACACGGAATGTCATGTGGGTAGCTTTTGATGCTTTTCCTTGCTATAGGAACCTGCATGGGTGAGGGCGAACCGTGTGAAGAATGCAACGCAGGCGCAGGACGTGTGCTCCAGACAGTTGTTGAGAAAGATATCGGCTGGAGGGAAGCTGTCCCACGAAGCTACCAAGGACGATTGAGGGACGCTGTTTCGTCTGTTCGAGATTTTGTTGGTGCTCGCCTCGTTTTCAGACTCCACCCACTTCCCACATTGTGTATACAACAAGTTTCCTCTCATAGTTGCATCACCTTTAGCTTGGCAAGCCGTTTGTTAAGGTGCTTTTTTGCTTTGGGTTTAGCGAACCGAAAGCCAGCGAGGAATCTCTCCCTCAAAAGCCAGAGGATTGTTCTCAATGAAATGAGCGTTTGGTAAACAAGTTTCCTCTCATAGTTGCATCACCTTTAGCTTGGCAAGCCGTTTGTTAAGGTGCTTTTTTGCTTTGGGTTTAGTGAACCGAAAGCCAGCGAGGAATCTCTCCCTCAAAAGCCAGAGGATTGTTCTCAATGAAACGAGCGTTTGGTAAACAAATGTGGATTCCGAATTCGGAAATGAAGCGTTCCAGCTAAATGTCTCTCTGGTTTTTAATGTCCCAGCCAAACTCTGTAAGGAATCCGGCTACCACTTGGATTTCTTTCAAAGCAGATTTGGAGAACATGCGGAGATACGATTAATTGTATTGGCTAATCGAAAGAAGCAAGTTCCCGAGAGAGCTGATATATATTAAAACCAAAAAAAATGGAAGCAAACCAAACCCTAAGCACCCTCTGCAAGATCTTGTCTCGACGAAACATTACTTACCATGTTCGTAATAGGAAAGAGAAGATAAAAAGGAAAAACTCAAATCTAGTATTTGCATAGCACAAGGAGGAAAGGGCAAAAAGCAGGCTGGATTTCTATCAAAGTTCTTCAATTTCATTTCGTGCCACGGACTTTGACAGCCTGCCTGTTCCTTTTCTTAACACCAGACTTGGCTACCTTGAGACTCCTGTGCACAGCACTCAACCTTGCTAGGGCAGCATTCTTCAAATCAGGCCTGTAATAATTATCTGCAACCTGCAGTAAAAATGCCATAATCAGCAAATTATACATGCATATCCATAAAAAGGGGAGGGAAAGGAAAAGGATAGACATAGTGAATATCTCAATATACAGCTGCTGCATACTTTGAATGTCCATGTTGTCAAAGGCAATTTAAGAAACATAACAATACCATCAAGAGTACAACGCGATCAATTTACAAGCCGCAAGACCGGATGATGAAATAGTATCTCTAGAAAGTAAGTTCAACAGTCCATGCAGCTATCACGAAGATGCTGATTAATGGCGTGGGAAACACATACAAGCAATGATATCAGATAGCCGTGAGACACTCATTATTCAGAATTGGGAACCCGATAAATTAAACGAGGTGGGAAAAGACATCAGATATCTACTAGGCATCAAACCACTTTGCAAAGACCATTTAATGAAGGCTACCTGGTTTGTCACCGCCTTGGCCATCCTATTGAACTCCTTCTTCATCACAGATTTGTGGAGCAATGCAGCAGGTTTGTTCTGTTTCTTGGTCTTAGTCGTGGCAAGCAACACGGATTGCTCCTTACCCATAGGTTGAATGGTGACTGTCTTCTGATTTGCGATACCTATCATGCACCAACAAAGATGTCAACTTTTAGCTCAAACAAGCCTCTATTGCTTTAAACGATCGAAATTTCAGAAAGAGAGAGACAACAAGGAGACAGTGATCAATCGAACTGCATCCGAGAAACCAAATTACACACTTTCAAGCAATCTCAATCATTTCCCAGGTTAAAAAAGCTACAACTTTTCAAAAAAGATTCTCAAACCGTTCATCGGCATTCTCCTCGTAGAACTCATCCACATCTTTCCTATCGAATAACGCGACAGGTTACAATTTACGAATACCCAAAAAAGGCGATTCAGTAACATCTAAAGCCAAACATAACTGAAGAATGAATCCAATCCTCAGCTAAACATAGCTTCCCTTTAAACATTAGTTCACAGACGAAGAGCCTGTATCGGTTCGCCTAAACCCTCACTAGTCACACCAGATGCAACGATCGGAGAATCTACGATTTCCACATTCCACCATAACTTCCACGCACATTTCCAGACCAACACGCGGGAAACCAACAGGACCGCAGATTTCGCAGACGCCGTCGAAGCAGAACGAACGAAAAAGAGGGGACACGTACGTACCGGAGTGCTTGTAGGAGTTGAGGTTGAAGAGGTTGTTGGGCTCCTTGCTGAACTGAACGCTCGCGCTCCCCCTCCCGAACTCCTTCACGAGGTAACAGTTGTTCTTCTTCACCATCTCCCATATCAGCTGCCCCGGCACCGTCGCCATCTCCTCCTTTCCTCCACCTGCACTTCACACAAAAAAAAAAAAAAGAAAGAGCAAGAAAGAAACCACGTCTCATTGAACCGGCCGCAGATCAAATCGAAGCTTGAGCTCGACATCAAGATGCGTGCTCGGAGACGGAGGCGATCGTACCAGTTAGGGTTTTCAGCAGCAGCAGCGCGCGGCGGGAGACGACGGAGGGGGGGCCGAGAGCTATTATGATGAGCACCGAAAAATACCCTAGCGGCTAGCGGGAGGAGCTTCGACCAATTTGGAGACGACAAAGGCCGCGCTTCATTATCGTATTTACGAGCATGCCCTTGATTTTGGTGTGGTGTTTTACTGGTAGGCCCATTCATTTGGCCCAGCCTCTGCCCTGCCCTGCCCCTGTTCTTTCTGCAACAATTCGCTGTTCTTTCTCTCTCTCTTTCCTTTTCTCTCGTCTCCGAGGGGATAGCAAATGCCAATGTTCGATCCCCACGATCTCCATCATCAACATTGGTCTTCGTGTCGCGGACGAGAGCTCGCCGTGTCAATCGATTCAAAACCATCGATCCGAAAGGGCTCCTTAGAACGGTTAGATTGACAAAGGGATCTGATTTCTACCGTCGGATTTGTTTGACGGGAATTGATTACCTTACCTGTTGGATAGATTTAGACTCCCCCATTATATTAATGTGACGAAAGTCAATATTCACCTGCTAGATCAAGTAGATCTCTATTGCCAGATCAATTAGACAAGAATTGACATCGTTTATCATCAAATCACATAGGAGATCAGTGATTGAAATTAGATAAGCTCTTGTATAAATATGAGAGCCCTCCTCTCATTTTTCCTTAGTCTAAACTAGAATTCGTTCTCGAACAGACCTTCAATGCTTAAATCAGTTGATTTCCGATAAACAGAGAACAACTTCTTAAAAACAGAAAATGGAGAGAGATAGAAGACCATTTAAAGTTGATTCCCGATGAACAAAGACCATTTAAAGTTTTTTTTTTATGGTAAAATGTAAGTATTATACAACCAATAAAGTACAGCAGCTTAGGAGCATTCCCCAGCATTACAAAGACCGTTTAAAGTTGATTACCGATAAACAAAGAACAGAGGTCGATGGACCAGTATATAAGCACGTTTCGATCCACCGTTTCCATCATGGCGAATCATAATTGATGCACGATGCTGATGTTAGAACGTGATATCACCAATGCGGAAATAATACACTCATCAGCGAATATGGAGTTCGTTTTAATAGGGGAATCTCACTCCACGCAAAAACTACAAGATCCTTCAATTGATAAAATTAATAAACATGTTCCATGACCAACAACAGATACAGAAGAGTTATTAGCTCACAGAACCAACCCGATATATTTGAACTAATGAAGGTCTACTACCACTACCATGTGAGCAATTTTGCCTATTACCAGAGACTTCCACTTTACACCTCAACTAATGTTAAATATGTACGGTATCTGGTAGTAGCTTCCGTACGAGGTTGCGTTCTGGAATCAAATTATACAGAAAGGAGCTCGCTGATATACAAAGCAGAGAGTCTAAGGCTAAGAGTAAAACTGAAACAAAATCCGCAACTATAAATGCACTACATACAGCAACAAGTTCGAGCCGTGCATCAACTTCCAGAGCAAGAAAAAGTTCACTAATTGTTGGATGTCAAAGCCCGATGCGTTGGTCTCACTGAACCGTTCACTGCTTCATTTATTCGACTAAACACTACTTTCAATGGAATGCAAGCTATAACAGGACCAGCAGGCTTCTCTACCGCAAATTTCCCCATGTCCTCGCCTCGCTTATGTCCGGTCAATGAGGACAACTTCCGCATCTTTTTAGATAACTGACCCGATTTCCTCGCCTTGGACGGCTTCTTTCGTGAATGAGACTTCGCAGTTCGTCGGACATGCCCCGAGCTTCTATTAACTAGATGACCCATATCAGAACCACCCCAAACAGAGAGATTATTTGCATCACAGCTGCCCGTATTTACCAGATTATCACAATACCCACCATCTAGGACCTCAACTGAGAGAGGGTGTCCAACAATGGCTTTCCCGTTTAATTTACTCATGAGCGAAACCAAAGGAACATGAGTTGGACGATAGCTAGCCTTCACTTCCAGCTCAACATCGTACAAGGGCGAATTGGAGTACAAGTCCCCAATAGGATACTCATCTGTCTTATGCCTAGAGTGCACCGTAAAGCGAGACTGACGATGAGGGAGCGATCTTTGAGAAGTCGGAGAGCCATTGGGCGGTGGCTTCAACTCAGCTTGCCTTTTCATGTGAGATTCTCCTGGGAACACTCGCAAGCCCCAATCGGGTACCCCATCCACCTGACCTTCGCTACCTGATTTCAGTTTAGCATGCAAAGTAGAGGATCCATCAATACAAGTGATGCCAGGTTTCCGATCAGAACCCAGCAAGCAACCATCAGGGTTATGTAGACCTGCCAGATAAGTATTGGTATCCTCGTCCATTTCCAGATACCTTCCCGGATGTCGTTTTCTGTTTTTACTTAGCTGCCTGGAATTCCTCTTTCCTTTCGACTGCCATTTGGAAGTACCCTTGTCTATCCTTTGGCCGACTTGATCTACATGAACAGCAGCCAAACTGTTGGGACCAGATTCATTAACGTGGTTGCATGGCAAAGATGCAGCTTCTATTTGACTGCTTTGACTCGAATGCCTTCCTAAGCTGCTGAGTTGAGCCCTGGCTAGCATTGGAGGAAAACCTGGGAAGTCATCTAAAACATCATTACTCAGCCCCTTTTATTAATGGTATGATACAAGATAATGATAAGACAACAGAAATACTAGGTAGATGAGATTGACATAGACAATGGAGGATCTTTTTAAAAACTAATCTCTACATCACCAAACTCGTGTTGCAAACCTGAAAAATTACTTCTATGCAGACATATATAAAGTAAAGGACTTCCTATTTTCATTCCCCCTTTTTATATCTTTCCTTCTACCACCAGACCAGACAATATACAGCATGAGAGAAGCATTGTATTGAAAAATTAAAATGCCACGAAAGGAAAATGCTGAACCCCAAAGGACTAGATGAACTTCCACTTTGGTTGAAAAATGACATGCAACCCTTTATAGAAGTACTTTTCGAAAAAATGCATATTATGTAGTTTTGTCAATCTCCGACTTGTATAAGAGGAATTCATACCTGTAAAATTCACAAGTAGAAATCTAGCTGCATTTTGATTCCAAAGACCAATTGAAAATCAAACGCCAAGGGCCAAAGCAAACATCTGGAGCAAATGGCCCCCCGTAGATACTAAGCGTAGGACTTTTTGCCTTTTGGAGTTTGAGATGTTGACCACTCAAATCTTTACAATCCTACGATATATTGAGATTTGGAGTCGTTTGCAATCATGGAGAAGCTTTTCATAGATTTTGTTGGGATAACTCCTTAAGTACTTATTGATTAAAATTAAGTTTGCCCAGAAAAGCCCTGAGACTTTCTTGGTCTAATCAAACAGCTCACGGCAAGACCACATTGATTCGCTGTCCAGAATCTTATCCTTACATGTCACACGATGCATGCTTCCCCAGCAAGGATTAGTCACGTTAACTCCTTAATCTATCATGAAGCACAGATAAGTGCCAAGTATCTTTGGTGGAAATGCCCATTGCACCAGCGATATTAAAACTAAAACTACTTCCCAGCTTACGATAGAAAGCCAACAGATCCAAAGATATTCCTAGAGTAAAAAAACCTTTAGCATAGCAATATTGAAACAATAAAGGATAAATACACTAGATAAGAAGGACACATACAGACACCAACTTCATAACAGAGCTTACCTGTAGAGTCTCTATCAACTCCAACAAATGGCACATCAAATAACACATCAGATAATTCATTCTCATGTAGCCCCGATAAGCGGGAAGTTTCCTTTGTCTTCGAGCAATCGTTGGTTTTCTGAGCATGCTTGCAATCGTTTACTGTTGGCTCATTGTCATGTGAAACTGCAGGGCTTTCTGAGTTCGTCGGGACAATGGGAGATGTTTTCTTTGAATCAAGTTGTTCCAATCCAGATGCCTTGCAGTCGGATGCAGTGCCAAGACAATTACCACTTGAAGAGGCTAACTGGTCACAAGTAACAGGAACGGACACCATCGCCGTACTCTCCAAAACTTTGGTCAAAGGACGACGTCTATTTTTCTTTTTTAGGAAGTCATGCACTATTGCCACTTGAGATCTCTTTCTCTTCAGAGATGAAGAATAGTTTTTGCAACCATTAACAGGAATTCCATTTGGCACAAAATTGACAGTACTTGTGCCAGGAGATATATCTTGGTGAACCGACTCAACAACGGCAACAACCTGAACTGTCTTGTTAGACACCACACCCATGCCTAGATCCTCAAGCCCTCTCATGCGCTTGGTTCCTTCGGTTCCATCATCTTCCGAATCATTCGGGGTTTTCCTCCTTCCCTGGGCAGATTGCAGCTTAGAAGAACAGACATGATTTGGTTCTTCAAAAGATATGCCAGACCGAGATAACTCAAGCCCAGAATGTGAATCGGTATCACCGTCACTCTGATCTCCAGAAACTTCATCACTTCCTCTACCAGAATCTGAGATTGTAGGAGACTCCGTAGCCAAAGCACCATCTCTCACCGATGAATAATTTCTACAATAAAAATCTGGATGGTCCTTCCCCAATCGAGAACTCTCAAGCTCAAGAGCATGCAAGATTGCATCCTCTCTCCTTGCATATTTCACCACTTTCTTACTTAAAGTGGCTGCAGCTGCCTTTGCCTTTTCAATGCAATCGTCGTACTCCCCACAACGAAACGCCTTCACTCTCTTGGATTTTTCGAGGTTATACCAGTCTCTGCATCACATTTGGTCAAGAAAATGAGAATATACTTGATAAGAGAGAGAATGTTTTAAACATCAGCTGCATGGTCCTTTCATTCTTGCAATATTGTCAAGGAAAATATTCCGAAGCAAGTTGCGTTCTGAGCAAGCTATCAGACAATAAAGAATCTCAAGGAGCAAAAGAGTCAGTCATTACATGCAAACAGGAGCAATTACAAACAAGACTTTGGCACGTCTTCCTTCCACGAATCACAAATCAGGATTTATCGGGTCGCCCATAAATATCACAATCAGATAACTATGGTTAGGTAATTCTTATGCAAATTTCATAAAAACATGCCATGCAGATTGCATGAACAGATACAATCAATATGATACTGTATTCTGCAGCAACATAAGGCAGAATAGACCAGTTTAAGATAATTTCACAAGAAGTAAACTGCTCTCAAGAATCTCTTGGTTAAAATGCAACATGATTTCTGATCCACATACCCGAAGTAAAAGATGATGTTAGCTCTTTTCCTTAATCATGTAGAACATAAACGACAAAATCAGCTCAAAAGCAGCTGCAAACAGCAAGCTAAGTTCTGATTTATGTCTATGAGAAAAATGTAAACAATTTCGGAGTGCACATTCAGTCAGGATATTTTGAAAAAACATGGACTGGATCAAACCTCTCCAGTTTTGCATGAATTACAAAATGCAAGATAAGGCCCAGTATTCTGAAGTCGCATTCTACAGCCATGAAGTAGAAGTCACATTTTACAGCCAAGAAGTAATGAGACATAATCAAACACTACAACCAAGCAGAAGCAGGCAGATGTTGTGACAGGCAGAATCAGGTCATCGCTGAAAAACAGAAATGCAAGTGTTTGACTAATGGATAGGGCTTTCAAGTTTAGTGAAGTGTTTCACCATGTCAAATGCTCCAACAATCATGTTTCACACATTAAATAACATCAACATCAAAACTCATCTTTACTGCTGTTGATAAACAGAGGTGGTCGAGCAACAGTTTGAAGAAGCCTAAGGGAGTGAAAGTTAATCAAGCTATCCCAAGTACATCTATCCATCAACCGCGACAAAAAACCAACAGCATCTCCACAGGTTTTCATCTTGATGCGATTATGGAAACAGAAGTGTTTCGGTTAAATAAGAGTTAAAACAAATCGCCAACTGATGAGAAGGAAAAACAACACATAGACTGCACATAATCAGGGCAAGCTAAGGGACTCACATGCTAGCATCCTTGCGACCAAGGAGCTTCACTGGAGTACCCGATCTCGGCGAGACCAGGCAGCTCTCGGGCAGCTCGTCGTGGCCCATAATCCGACCAGGCCACCAAGAACCGTTCCGCCGCCTAACCCAAACCAACCCTCCTACACTCCCATCAATGCCCTTGTTGCAGGGCTCGCCAGTAGAGCTGCTCATGCCACCAAATCTCCACCGCCGCCGCCGACAACAACAACAACGAGGTTCCGATCCAAATCCGTCTCAACCATTCATCACCGAACCTCCCAAGCTCCGAAAACAATCAGCCCAAGCAATTCTGAGCGGGCGCAACGCACATGCGCTTCACGCCAAAACCGCGAAATCCCCCAAGACCTGCCCAAAAATCCGGAGGGAAAAAATAAAGAATCAAGATTCGACCAAAATAAAAAACCCAGATGAACAAAACCACAATCTGGCGCGTAAAGAAAAAAAACTCGAAGCGCGCAGATTAAAAATCGCCAAGAAAACATCAAAAATCAGGGGGGGAAAAAAAACCAGGGGAACTGCAGAAAGACCAAGAAACCTAGATTGGAGAGCCTCGCGGAAGGATCGGGAAGACCGCGGGGAAACGGCCCGCCGGGAAAGCCCTCCGCTTTCTCTCCCGCTTTTCTTTGTTTTTTTCCTACCCGGCGTCGCTTCGGAAACGGCTGTCGGAGCCTCCGGTTTCTCTGTTCTTGCTCCTTTCTGCAGATTCAGGGGCGCGACGTCACGTGGGTCGTCTTCTTCCCTCGCTGTTTTCTCGTTCTCCTGCGGAATGCGTTGGCGAGGGAGGCAGGGAGGGAGGGAGGTTTGGAGAACCCTGCGTGCGTGCGTGCGTAGCTCGCAGTGTGAGGTAGAGGAAGAGGAGGAAGGAAGAAGGAAGGAAGAGAGAGAGAGAGAGAGAGAGAGAGAGAGATGGTGGTGAAGTCAGTCGGAGAAAAGTGGAAAAATAGGTTTGTTACGTTTGTTTCTTCGATCGGACGTACGTTTCCTGAATAAATAAAATAAAATAAAATAAAGTAAAGTAAAGTAAAATAAAGTTTCTTCTATTTAGCAAGAGATGTATATGAATAAATAAATAAATAAACGAGCATCTAAAATTATTACATGTAAATTACGACCCCGAAAAAAGAATCATTACATGTAATTTATGCGGTTCGGACAGTCCATCTGATGCGGTCGTGGATTCCAATTTCCATTTCCCCCCCCCCCCCCCTCCAAAAAAACAAAAGAATAGCGGCATTCGCACGTCCATATATTTTGTTGACAATTTAACTCCTTGTATTTTCTTCTTTTCTAAAGTCGCGTTCTGTCCTCCATAATTACCATCTTGCCTTTTTCTTTCCTGTTTTTTCTTTTTGGTGATTTCAACGTGTGAATGTGAGCACCGGGGTTTGAGGTGAGCTCTCTACCTTCTCGGATGTTAGAGGCGAAGACATTTAATTTTAGATGTGGATTTTGACTCTCGTGCTCTGTAAAGAGACTGAGCAAAAGTCTGAAAATGAGTTGAGAGTTAGAATATGACATACCAAAACAAAAAAACATGTGAATGTGAAGTCCACGATAAACATTTTGTTATTTGGTCACTTAGTACGAAGTGAAAATGTGGATAATGATTTTTTCTTTCCAAAAAAACAAAAAGAAATTTCTTATTTTGCTTTTTCTAGTTTGAAAATAAACAGATTGACATTAAACATAGTCGTTGGTCCTCGGAAAATTTTCAACCATCTTTTAAAATATCATTTAAATTGGAATTTGAGTAGCACTGGAAGTAGCCTAACCACCCCACTTTAACTAATATTCACCAAGTGAATATGATAAGCACTCCCTCATAAATGCAATCGCATTGAAACTTGTTTTTCCATCCTAAATATTTTTACATATACTTATGTTTCAATGGAAGAGAGTGATATTCGACGAACGTCATACGTCACGTATCGAATAAGGATGAGTACGAGACTTGTATACTCTCTATATCTCGTGAATACCGACCCTAGTCAAGGAGCATTTATGGCAATTTTCGCAGGGTGCGAACCGACCGAGCACAAAGCGCTAAAATCATAGCCATTACTTGTCATGGGCCGGAGGCATTGCCAACCGTAGACGCGGCGATGGGGCATACAAGGACGCTGTTATTTTTCTCATAGAGAATTCATTTAAAAAATACCTGTTTAAAGTAACTAAAATATAGGATGATAAATTTATAGAAATTTAAACATGCTTCCCAGTTGCATGCGGTTTTTTAATTATACAAATTTCGCTTTGGTAACAATTTCCAAATCATAATCCCTATCCATCGTAATTGAAGCTGTCGTTCTTTTTTATAATTAGAAATAGATCAATTGGTTCGACGATAAGTTAGACCTAATTTGTTGAACAAGTTTGCCCAAAAGAACCCTTTAAGCCACGTGGCCCGAGTCGGCTCGGTAAATCATACCTATAAAATTACTGGCATAATTTATATAGTTACGATATTAAATTCCTCTCGAATCATGCTTACTAAAAGGAAATGCAAATCATGTAAATGATGCAAATACTCAAAGAGAAAATATCATGTTTCCCGGATACGACGTCGCTCGAGGGTCCTTTTATCTGTCGCAGGTCTCTCTATGTGTCTCACAGTGTTAGGCGTTTGCGCAGCTCGAGCTCGATTCGTGCTCCCTCACCGGCGTCTCCGCTGCGGCGAGAACCGAAGAAATCGAGCCGGCAAACCGCGACAATGACCGGTAATCCGTCGACTTGGAAAGCCCTTTTTTCTTTTCCTCATTGGGTGTTAGAAAGTTACTTCACAATCGCGATTGCATGATCATCCGCTGTTTTCCGTTGGTTGTTGTCGTTGCTGTTGCTGTTGCTTCCACTTGATTTCGGCTGCTGTCCGTTCATCTTCTCCGATTTCATGGGTAGAAGTATTTGCCTCCTTTCATCGCGATTTGATACGGGTTTGGCTCGTGTGAAGATCACGGGAATTTAGAATCATGGGTACTTTTTTCTTGAATAGTTTGTACCGGTTATGAAGTGTGTCAAAGAATCTAGATGCGTAGTATTATGATCACCGCACGCCGTGCACGGTTAAAGCTCGAAGCGAGAGGAAATTGCTGGGCGTGGAAGCCGCAAAAATTATGCTCTTTTTTTGAATTCATGTCAATTAGGAAGTATACTGAATGCGGATTGCTAATAGTATTCAATTTCTGACAATTCAATGCCGGTGCTATGTGAAAGTTCTGATTTTTTTTCTTTCTCATTCCTATGATGGATGGGTCACGTAACAAAGCTTATGCTTTCGTGGAAATCGAATCCAGAGATGAAAAAACTAACCAAAGAAGATTACATGATGTAATGTGAAGGGCCATCGGCTGGCATATGGATGGATTTTGGCCTTTTGTTTATCCGAAGCCACCTTTTGTATTTATGGCAATCTTGAATTGTGGATGTAGACTATGAGCTGGAGCAGTCGATGGAAATTGAAGCATTGGAAGCTATACTTATGGATGAGTTTAAAGGTATATATTTACGACATTCATTTCCATTATAATTCATTAATTTTATTTTTTCCTCGTTTCGACCTGTGAGGGATGCTATTTGCTGTTTTCTTTTTAATTCCAGAGATTCATCCCAGCGAAAGTGGGTTAAATACATCCAATAAATGCTTTCAAATCAGTATATCTCCACAGGTATCCGCTGTTCTCCCCATCATACATCTCGTACCATATGTTGTGATTATCAGCTAGAGAATTCTTACGAAGTTATAAATGGTTTACATTTGGTGTTAAACCTTGTCTTATTTTCCAGATTTGATATGCTCAGAGAGCCATGGCATTTAATAGCTAAGACATGGTTTTATGGGGGGTCCAGATAGCTATACAATGATGCTTGATTTTCAGGGTTTTAGGTGAATGCAAGACTAGCGAGGATATGTGCATTAGCTAAAAAGAAGCTGAGGTTCTATCAGTTACTGTGAAAAATCATACAACAATATAATCCCAATTTGTCTCCTCTTAGTTTTAAGCCTTTTGCAATCCTGTGGCAAAAAGGAAGGGATTTTCAGATTTTGCTTTTGTCATAAGAAGACTTTGCTGTGACATCTCATTTTGCAGCTACATACTATTTGTCTTTTACAGGCACTTTCCTTTTTGCCCTTCTTTTTCATCATTATATCGCTAACTTGTTTATAATATTTTATTTGGCAGGAAGACGATTTAGACGAGCCAACAACTACACCAGGTTATTGATCTTCCATAGAATTTTCGTTTCCAGTTTGGTTGATTTGATGTTTGAAGCTGAGGTGATGAGCTTTCTTTGAGCTTAGAGTCTAGTTCGCGTGGAGCTAATATGTTTCTCTGACATCATATGCAGTTCAGCTGGCCTTGATATTCTGCCACACAGAAAGATATCCAGATGAACCTCCACTGCTAAGTACCAAAAGGTTAATGATACTTCCATGGAAAGAAGAGTTGCTTTCCTTTTCTTGTTTATCCATATACTGTTGATAAAAATGTTCTCACATTTTTTTTAGTGCAGCTAGCTTTGTCCTTGACTTGTAATTTTTCACTGTACTTAAAAGAATGCTTCTTTAATTTGGGCGGTTGCAATAGTAGGGAACAGTGATATTAAGTCCTCAATGGTGATTCTTTTTTCCCCCTTGTTTTTGGTTTGCTGGATGGCATTAAATGTGGACCTTTCTGAGTAATACTCCTGTCCCGTGCTGTGCAACTTCTTAGTCAACTTCGAATTGGAAATTGCTTCCAAGCTTAATCTTCTATCAAGTGTCATATGTTCTACTTGTGTGGTCTGTTTCATAGCAGTTCTCTGTTTGGTTTTTCCTCTAATTATTTTAATTTTTTGCAGAGTTTGCATAATGCTTTACCTGTCATTGCAGTTGGATGTAGACAAAATCTCAGATTCTGATGCAAACTAGATACTTATATCTTGTGAAAGTGAATCAGTGTTGGAAAATAGACTTTTGAGTAGTTTACTCGTTGATCATTTACAACAATTGAATTATCCCACGTTTTGCCTTTTATTCACTAGTTCTATGAGTTTTTCACTTTTAGAAATTCTTGGCTTAATACTTGTGTCAAAATTGAAGAGTATAAGCTGAAATACTGTTTGATCCAGTATATTATTCTAATTTCGCATGCGTTTCCATGAAGTTTCTGTTGTTTAGTTTGAATGGTTACTTTGCAAAATTTCAAACAACCTCAGTATCAGCTTCTGTTTGGCTTATTGGTTCTGTCTTGCAAATGGTTGATGTGATGTAGCTCATTTGTCTGCTTACTTGTAGTATCGAGCCTACATGTAAAGAGCTTTTTAGCCTTTATATTGTGCAGGAGACTATGATGGATGTTGTCATAGGTTCATGAAATTCATCGAGAATTCTATTTTATTATGTCATATCTGCTGATAATATAACTTTGCTTTTCATCGCTGTTCATTTGATATAGCAAAACTGAGTTTGATTGTTAAAAATGTTCCTTGCTAATGTAGGTTCTTTCTTGGATATCTCTGACATTGAAATGACATTGATTTACTTGGTCAATATTTTTATGCTGCTCCATTCTTATTTTGGTAGATCATCATAAGTAACAGCACTATCGCCTGTGACATTATTGCCCAATAATTCATTTTACAATTAGAAGCATTATTTGAATCCTGCAGTTTACGTGGAATACCAAGTGAAGATCTTAGGACATTGAAAGAAATGCTCCAACAAGAGGTAAAGAATTTTCCTTATGTATGGCTACATTGCTTGGACATTGATACGTGTAATCAGCTTTGGTCATGTCACTACTTTATGAGAGAGTGTGATAAGGAGAGCACTATGAATCCATCCGTGATAGGACCTAATACCCGTCCTCTTAAGCCCATCTTATTGCTTCAAGAAACTGTAATCATATTATGTATCTTTCTCAAATCTTTTGATGCTTGCCTGCTTGGGGATTTATCCACATGTTTGAGATTTTCTGCAGTTCTGCACCTTTTTCCTCTGAATCAGTCTGTTTCCAAGAGATCTATTTCCATGAACATGTCAAATAGGTGTGCAATGGCTGAATAAATAAGGTCTTAATTTAGACAATGTAGCTTAAATGCAAACGGTAACACTTTTGGGCAAATACCGTGTGTGTTATACCTTGCAAGATAGGAGCAAAGTATGCATTACGTTTTACCTAATTGCTATAAAGCCCTATAAAGAGTAAAATTTACCTTTCTTTTGGAATTTGGAAATTATAGTTTATCTCATTTATTTGGTTAGAACTGTTAATCAACTTGCTTCGGTGTAACTCAATGACCAGTGTCAACATGACTTTGTATGATTCGATCAAAATGCTTTTGTTTGTTCAGGCAGCTGAAAACCTTGGAATGGCTATGGTATACACTCTTGTTACATCTGCAAAAGAGTGGTTGTCGGAAAGATTTGGTCAAAAGGACAGCACTGAGGACCTCAAAGAAGAGGCAGCAAAGGATGAGGTAACTATATTCCAGCTTTCAGAATCCACAGCTATTTGCTAATATGCTACAGTTGGACCATATGTGTGGGAAATAAGTGAAAGCTCAACTGTTATTTTGAACCTTCCCTTGTCTTGGAAATCGAGTCTCTCTGGATTGCTGCAGCTATTGTGTGAATCATGCTTGTGCAGAGAAAAGCGTGGCTGTAGATATAGACCATTGGTATTGGCATTAAAGCTGGAAAATGGGCTTGCTGAATCTTGCATCAGATTAGATATTTGACTTCTGTTTCCCACGTTATATTATTATATATTGATGAAGAAAGCATTGACTGCTTATTGTGTATATAAAATCTTTCTGTCGTAACTTCTGAGAAAGAGCCTTAATTTTGTCAACAGTTCAGAGGGAACGTGGACCCATTGTTTGCAAACTGTCTAGCTTGAGAATGTATCGAAAGATGATAGCAAAAACTTCTTCAGGAGTTTGTGAGAGGATCACATTCTTGTCTCGTCTTATTCAATCCATGCATCACAAAACCTCGAAAGTTAAAGACACTGCAGTTTTTATACTGCTGATATTTTCGGTTTTGGCTAAGTGAATGGACATCTCCATCAAATATTTGAAATTGTCATTCAGTAGATGGTGGCAGAGTTTTTCTTACTTTTTGTTACCTCTTAGATAGTTGTGCCCCATGGAGAACCAGTCACTGTGGATACGTTTCTTGCATGGAGAGAAAGGTTTGAAGCAGAGTTGGCACTAGAGCGAGCAAAGTAAGCCTCAATAAAATATTTCCTCTGCTTGTCCTACTGTCAGCTTTGCATTATCTGGGGACAGATTGTATCTTGTATCATATTCTTTTGTGAATTGTAGTCGTAGGTGATGAATTACTGTTGTGCAGAAAGAGCTGATTTGAGCTGCTCTTAATCGCGTTTCGTTTACTTTTGTTTGGGAGAATATGGAAATTGATTAAAGGGAAAATTTGGAAGTAAACTGACTATGACGTCCTTCAGCTGCCAATGGAGGAGCCCAATGGAAAGTTTGGGTTATAGGGCTTAGGAGCTTGTTGGTATTTTGGGTGGATTGAGGGGCCAATAGAAAGTTCTCTCTATTATCGGTGCCTTCATTTTCTCTTGGGTTTCCTGAAGAGAAGAATAAGATTCCATTCTACTCCAGTGCTGTCCATTATCTTAAAATAGTTTTCCTATTTGTGACTGATTTGCTATTATAGGATTTTCTAGTTGTGAGCAAGCAAATCATTAGAACAATTTTAGATATTTGTTTCACCCGCTAGTGAAACCAATTTTGTGTGATGATATGAGGACATGGTAATGGAGGATCTGTAAAAAGTGGGAACTTCCAAGCCTATTGATACGGAGGTTCCCTGTGGGGGCAAATGTTTTATGTTCAATTAATGATGGCAATGGCTGCATTGCCTTGGTTATCAGAGAGAAATCTATTCCATCCTGGGAAAGACTCTCTTACTTGTTATCAAAGGTTAATTTCTCAATACCTCTGTATATTGTCACGATGGACCTGTTAGCTAGAATGAAAGCAATGTATTCACATAGAACCTGAAGTAGTTTCTGGGTCATCATTTCTCGCAGTTATGAGCCCATGCTTTTCTGTTCATTCCCTTGTCCTAGTTTTCTTGACAGATAATGGCAACATGTATTTCAGGCTAATGCCTGAGTCTGCACTCACGGCAACCAAGGAAAAAAGGCTCTCTGGAAGACAGTGGTTTGAAAGTGGAAGAGCGGTAACTTGACTTCTTCATGGTTTTCATATATAGCTCTATTTTGTGCCTGATTTTCATCTTTATTATTGAAACTGTAATAATGGCCCACAGATGGTGTGAAAAATGCATAGGCTGCCTAAAATGATTCCTGGAGTCGGTTCATGTAGTCCAACAAAAATAGCCTATGAGGTAGTAAATTCTGAGGATGGAGTGATGTTTCTTCAAATACTCATAAAGTTTTTCCTTATCAGAGATATTTATGTGAAAGAGGGAGGAAAGAAAGTATAAAATTGGAGCTTCCTGTTCTCTGAGAGAAAAGAGGTACTGGACTGACCAGTGGGCAGTCCACAGTGGACCAGTGGGGTCACGGGAAGAAAAACTGCAAACAGCATCAGTCACTCTTGAATCTCGCTGCATGCCATTACTAAAATTTGAAAAGATAGAACTTGTGGATTAGCCCGTGATACATTTAGTTTGCTAGTGTTAATGTGCTTATCTGCCGAGAACGGTAAAATCGCGTTTAAATAAGATGTTGGCCGTCATCTTGCATAAATTCCATTTCTGTTTGAAAAAAAGGCTTAAAAGTACAGTTAATCTCCGCTTTTAACAGAAAGGTGCAGCCGCGGCTGCCGAGGAATCTGATGAGGAGGATGAGGAAGATATTGACTTTGATGACGATGATTTTGAAGGTAATCTGTATTTGTCTTTTTTCCTGGGCCAGCTATTTTGTTGCTGTGGATGGAATATTATTTGGATGGTCATGGTTGTGATTCTCTCTCAATTATAATGCCAGATGATGAAGACGACATGCTGGAGCACTATCTGGCCGAGAAATCAGATTCATCCGCTCATTCGTCTAGGAGAATGAGCTAAACCTAAAGTTGCTGGGGAGTCATGAATTATCTGAACAGAAGTACCTTTTTGCACGGCCTTGTACTTGCTCATTCAACACTAGTTATTTCTTGAGGCTAGCCCCACAATTTCGCTGCTCGGCATTAGGTTATGACATGAGAAGAAATCTGGTAGCAGATAGGGCGAGATTAGGCAGATGATGGGTTCCCTTTTCATTTTTCGTCTGCAAACTGGTAAGAATTACGTGGCCAGAGCATTTTGTGTTGTGGCGGGGAACCGTTAACCTTTTCATTGTACCCGGGGAGATTGGTAAATGGAAGCTTGTTGCATCCGGCCTCGAGATTATTCCTTGGAATTGTGCGAAGTGTAGTGGGTCGATGGTCATTCTTCACTTAAAAGTTTCTTCAAGGCGAATTCGCGCCGGAATCGGTTGGTAATGTGAGTCATGACGGGGACTACAATTTAAACTGCGCGGCAGACTTTTGTAGAGTAAAAAAATCGTGATATCTGTCGCGATATCTCTAGGTTACATGGTTGTTGTTCATAGGCATGTCATTGCATGAGATAGATTGATATTAAGCTCCTTTCACCAACCCTCTTCCTCTGTTCTCTAGATTCGAATGCACTTTAAATTTTCATGAGGTCTGCCGCTACTTTTGATATTGAACCGAAGACGCATCTGTCTTTCCAAAGTGGAAGCGGCCCTATTGGAGAACTTTGACTCTCAACTTCCGTTTCTCGTGATTTTTCACCGAAGTTGTTATTCATTATCAGCGTGAAGAAAGATCGAGCCGGTCTGCAAAAGTCAGGACGACTTAAAAACCACACTTTTCTGCCGAGCGAATCGAAAGGACATTCAAACATGGAAAATTTCTATGTTGTTCTAGTTCTTCAACAACGATAGGTACCGGAAAAAAAACGAAAAGATGGTTTGGGGCGAAATATGCATTCCTAATGCTTGATTTTTTTGGGATAAGCGCAATAAAAATCCTAAAACTTATCAAGAGAAGTGGGATTAAGTGCTAAACATCTTAAAAAGTGCAATAAATTTATCAAATTTATGCAATCGAGTCATTTTGTTAACTCTGTCAAATTTAACTAAAGGAAAATGTTGACGTGGCTCTTTTTATTATTTTCTCTCCTATGTGGCATTAACATTTTTAGAGTATAAAACATAAGATTAAAACGATGTCGTTTGGTTCAAATTTTGATTTTTTAACTAAATTTTAGTTAAATTAGATTTTTTTTTGGTCGCTTAGTGAAATCAGATTAAAAAATAAAAAAAGGCTAAGGTTTTTATCTAAAAAGAAAAGAAAAAAAGGAACCCCATTGGCTAGAGAAAATCCGACGTGTTCACGAGATCTAGCCAAGGCACCAGCCATCGCCGACACCCTGCCAGCCCTCTCCAACAAAGAATCGGGCGTCAGCCCACAAGCCAAGGGACTGGGTTTTTTTTTTTTTGTAATTTTTACTTTTACTCTCTTTTATTTTGTTAATCTAGCTTAATCAAGATTTAAGCTAAACAATTAGGCATAAGACCAAAACGACGTCGTTTTGGTCTTATGCTTCACGCTTTAGAAATGTCCATCCTACGCAAGAGAGAGAAACTAGTAGTTTCGATTAGTCAAATTTGACAGGATTAACTAAAGACTCGATTATATCAATTTAATGAGTTTCGAAACTTGATTGTACGGATTTTTTTGTGGGAAGTTTTTAAAAGCCGAATCGCAAATTTTTTTTTTTTTGGCACCTCCCACTTTTTTGTTTCCACGGAAAAAAAAGGACATGTGGAAAGAGAATCGGAAGTAAGATTTTTCTTTTCTTCCGAAAGCGACATTGGGCTGGCACGGAGGACCAAGCCCGAAGGAAGAAGAGCTTTGCCCTCTCTTCAAGCCAAAACCCCCCCCCGCCGAAGCTCCTTATATCGCCAAGCAACAACCGTCCGCGCCCCTTCCCATTTCATTTCCCCTTCGATCTCTCTTTTACCCCTCGCTGCGCTTTCTTCGATCAATCGACCGTAGCTCGGAGCTCCTCCTCCTCCTCTTCATCATCGGCTGCTTCATCTTCGACCATGCTTAAAGGTCAGCTAACTCTCATCGCTCCTTCTCGTACGAATCTCCTCCTCCTCCTCCTTCTGCCTGATTTGCCGTGCGCGATTACGAGGCGGCCTCGTTCGTCGAGACGCTTTGACGCGACCGCCGCCGACCGCCGACCTCGATGTGTCTTGTCTCTTCGCTGACCGACTTTGGGCAATCCTCAGTTGCTCCGCGATCGGAGCTAGGGGCGAGCTCGTTGTTGTGTTTGTCCCGAGCGGCGGATTCGCGCGGTTCGTTCGTTCCTTTTTTTTTCTTTCCTTCTTTTTTGGTTCCTCCCTCGGCGTGTGTCGCGGATCCTTGTGCTGTGGTTTTGAGTGCGCGGAAAATCCTGGAGCTATGCGCTTCCCGTAGGATTTGTAGTTGCTAAAATTGCGGGCGGGCGGATGAATCTTTCTGCTTTGGTGATGTTCCTCAAATGCTTGTCTGAACCTGCGAGATGTTATATATATATATATATATTCTTAGGGAGAATCTGGGCTTCGATTCGCTTCATAGGTTCTCCTTTCAATGTATATAGTGCATCTCAGTTGATTGTGGCCGTTTGATACCTCTTGGAACGGCGATACGGCTGCCGCCTACTGTACTTTTACATAACGAGTCAATGCGATAACTTCGTTTCAACATCATCGAGTAAAATTGTTGAGAGGCTCTGGTAAATCAAATAAGGCGCAGAAATGATTTTCGTTAGAACTTCTAGTTGTGTTAAGCGCATTCTCCATCCTTCGGTTCAAGATTTAAGAGGAATATGGTTCGGGTACGATTCTAGAAGAAGCTGAAATGTCTCATTAGCGAAGCAGTTCGTCATAAGCAGGTGTATGCTTGGGCTCTGTGTTTAAGTAATAACCTTTGTCTAGTATCTATGAGAAGAACAAGCTAACTAATTGTATCAAGCCGGATTGGGTGGATTGTTTTCAGATGATCACGGTTTCCGATTTGTCTTTATTCGAGAAGCTTTCCTGTTAACGGTTCTCTTCTTTGTCACCTATCTGCTAATAATTGTCGGCGCCTAAATAGCTCCTTTACCATGTTTTCAATCTAAATAATGCATCTTGCTGTTCTGACAATTGCAATTTTCTGTCATCTCTAGTGAGCGTTAAATGGCAAAAGGAGGTCTTCCCAGATGTCGAAATCGACACCAGCCAGCCACCTTATCTTTTCAAGGTCCAGTTATATGATCTAACGGGAGTCCCACCTGAGAGGCAGAAGATCATGGTTAAGGGTGGTTTGTTAAAGGTATTTAGGTTTTCTTGCATACAATTTTAGTAGATCCGCTCTTTATTCGTGCACATTGTCCTTTTCTTCCCTGTACAACATATGGTTAAAAGTAAAATACTCTGCTACGCAGGATGATGCCGACTGGAGTACATTAGGAGTCAAGCAGGTAATAAGCTTAATTGCGATTTCCTTCTGGGTTTGTTTTTCAAACGAGGGAGTCGAATAAATGTTAGTTTATTCTTCGTGTTTGGTGGATAACTCGCGCTGCCCAGTTGCTTTGCTTGTTTAGATGGAAGGAATTGGTGAAAACATGATCAAAAGGTGAAAGAGGACTCCGTTTTTCACTCATGAAAAGTTCTAGAATATACAACTATCTTTCGTCAATCGTCATACATCTAGGTGAAAGCATTAGGTTTCCTCATATGGGGATACGAGGCATATTACTCTCTCTACTTTAAGGCGCATTATATACTCTGTTGTGATATATAGCTTTTGATCTAGATCGACTGTTTACCTACTTTAATTTTAGTAGAAGTAAGCAATCGTACCTTGTCAATGTCGTTTTACTGTTTCGGAGATGGAAACTTATTTTCCAGGTCTATCAATTTGGGTAGAATAGCTTAATTTAACCGAGTATACTTTTTCTTGTTATTGGTTTGTTTATGAATTTGGTGGGAAGAAGTTTAGACATGGAGCGGATGAGCCAAAATAAGATGTGAAATTGAAAAATAAACTGTCAACATCATTTCAACAGGAAAAAAAGGCTGCATTATGGTCACGTTTGTATGAATGAATCCTTTGAGATATAGCTGGTGTACTGAAGTTTGCAAGTTCTTTCCTTTGAATATGTATTTAGCACCTCTCTTATTTTGTCTTAAACTGTCAACATCTTCTGCTATTTTGTCTTCGCATGTAAGTTTCAATTTCTTTGTTTGAAGACCCAAGCTCATGTCAAGGAACTTTACAATATCCTGTGTTGTGTAATTAGTTTTCTGGATATTGATTCATCAGAGTAAACTTGTATAGGGCCAAAAATTGATGATGATGGGAACTGCAGATGAGATAGTGAAGGCCCCAGAAAAGGGTCCTGTATTCATGGAAGATCTTCCAGAGGAAGAACAAGCTATTGCAGTGGTAATTTTTTTAGCTCGGTGGCATACTTCTAGTTGCATTTAAGCAAAATGATAATCATTAGTGTACTTTCAAATTTTTTAAGTGACATCCCATGTGCTTGTAAGTTATAATGCATCCATTGTGACCTTGAGGAACTGTTACTATTTTTTTCTGGATTAAAAGTGTGTCATGGTTGTGTAATTCTCCTCGTTTACATTTATATCCTCCTTCACAGTCTATCTCTCCTTCCTTTTCTTCTTCTTCTTCTTCTTGGTGTTTTTTGGTTTTGTTTTGTTTGTTCTTCCTTTTTATTTTTTATTTTTTTTGGGGGGAATGGTTAAATCTTCCCATCATGGAGTTGGCAGTCGATGAATATCAACCTTTTCTCATTGGTTATCACATACGAAAAGTTCGAATTGGACTTGCATCATTCTGCTTGCTCCTTTTTTAAGCTAGAATTTGCATGTTGCTGTTTCTGTGGTAAATATAGTGATATTAGTGCGTGCTTTTTATGCTCTCTGGTATAAGCATGGACTTTTTTGCCTTATTCCGTGGTTGCCCGATACTTTTTCTTTAGGGTCATAGTGCAGGTTTATTCAACTTAGGAAACACCTGCTACATGAACTCTACCGTTCAATGCCTGCATTCAGTTCCAGAATTGAAGTCTGCTTTGCTTCAGTTAGCCATCGACTCTTCTGACTTTTCGTTCTTGTCTTCATTTTTGTGTTGGCGTTTTCACAGCAGAGCATGACTGATATTTTGTTCTTCATGGTGTAAATCTTGACTAGGTATACCCAATCTGGAAGAAGGAATGATTTGGATCAACCTTCTCACATGTTGACTGTTGCAACCCGTGATCTGTTCAGTGAGCTTGATAAAACTGCCAAACCAGTTGCACCGATGCAATTTTGGATGGTTTGGGCTTCGATCCTTTAACTGTGGTTTATTTTCATTTCATCCTTCTCTGGCCCTTTTTCTTGACTGATTCTGTTGAGTATCGCCGTCTGTCGTGTTTGCAATAGGTGGCCATACTTTTAGAAAAACGAAACAGCAATGTATGGTGAGCTATAAGTTGATCTGTTTCTTCAGGAAAGAAATTGCTTCGTGATGTTTTGTAGGTTGTAGGCAAGTGTAGGGAACTGAAAGAAGCATACACCGTCTGTGATAGACTTTTGTATAATACCATGACAAAGTGTTCTTACTTTTTTGAGTTTGTGGTTTTATCGACAAGGTTGAGTTTATCCCATAAAGCATGCTATTCTTCATGAGTTGAAAAGAGCTGGAACAAGTGATTCTAATGCTGGTAGAGGTTTCTTGGGATCTCTGTTTTGATCTAACTACAGCCAAAAACTTATAGGGTTGAATGGAGATTGCATTCTTATAATAGATTATCACAAATTTGTTGTACCTTTTCGGTATGCTGTTGGATAGACAAAGTTAATTTTGTATGAAGGTTGCAAATTCTGTTGCTGCTACTTAGCTGGTACATCTTCACAGTGCTTAAGATAAGAAAACAGGCATCATCTTCTTCTCTTTGTCAATATTTGCAGTTGTTGCGGAAAAAGTATCCTCAATTTGGCCAGCTACATAATGGTGTCTTCATGCAGCAGGTTTTCTTGCAACAAGAATTTGGTATATGTCTCATTGTGGAAATCTATAATTGATTATTAAATCGTGTTTTATTCTACCTAACAGGATGCTGAAGAATGCTGGACTCAACTACTATACACCCTTTCTCAGTCCCTTAGATCACCAGGTGCCAAGTAGGTAGCTTGTTTCGGTTTGTAATCTTACATGGCCATAAGATTGAAAAAAAAAAAACTTGTTCTTTTTAGTGGTTATTAGAAGTATTTCCTGATAATTTGTTCTTATTACCTGTTATTGAGATTGAAAAAAAAAACAACTTGAAGTTGTTTTCTATCATAGGATCTACATTTGATTGACTGTGAATTTAAATTGTACAAAGGCAAAATAATTTTACTTTTGCACATTTCTAACTTTAATTAATATGCTGAATCAAAAGTTTAATTTTACTCGTATTTGCACGTTTCTTGAATACGAAAGTTAAAATTACAGTACACCATTCTGATGGTGATTACGAAGGCATCTTCCTTTATAAACCCACCGACTCTTTTTTTCCCAAAAAATTAAATACACTTTTTAGAACGTTTTGAAGTAAACCTATTAGCTTCTTTCGAGAATTCTCCTTCTCTATCTGAAGATTCTAGCTTCTGATTCGCATTACTGAAATTTATTATTGTAGGCTTTGAGGTGTGAGGTTTCTTTTGGCTTTTGAGTTGACGGAGTTTGATCATATGATATTCTTAGAGAGAAATGATGATATAAAGAAAGCATTGGAAAGATATTGTTCAGTCAAATCGTGATCACTTAACTGACAATAACAGTCTATTCAATTCATGTCAATGTCATTTGGAAGTAGAGCTACTGAATCGTTGACATTACTGTTCATCTATGCTTGTAATTTTTCCTACATTCTACTTGCCCTCCAACAGTTTGAGAAAAGAAAAAAAAATGTGATCGAGTTTTTGAAATATATGGGAAAAATTCACGCATGTCGATATTTGTATATTTCATAAGGTTTCAAATGTTTTGTGTTAGATTAAAGTCAAATTATGAGAGCTGTAAGATTTGAACAAAGAAAGTGTAAAAAAAGTAAAAACTAGGAGTCACTCTAGAGAGCCCAGTATTAATGTTTCAATACTATCTAAAAAATATTATATATCAGTAGTGTTGGAACATGCAAAGGAAAAATACGGCAGTTGCTTTCTTAAACCCATCATTGACAACTTCTAGGTTGCTTCTTACGAGCATGTGTACTCAGATGATTTATCACTCTCACTATTTCTTGTTGACCAGCATATGCTGGTTTAGCTGTTTATTAATAATTCTTTTAGTTCCACCTCGTGGTAGTTATGATAAGTTAAACTGTCGATTGCAGTGAGAATCCAGATACCATGAAGGAACTTTTTGGAGTTGAACTTGTTAGCAGGTATGCAATGAACTTTCTTAAAGCTAAGTGCATATTTTGTGCTTAAAATTTTTGGCTCCCCCATTTTTTGCGGAGTTGCTCCCTGATTAGCATATTCATTGAGTATGCCATTGCGAGCAATATTCTATTTATGGACTTTTCACATTTCGCTTTAGCTTGTGCCTTTATTTGAATTTGATTCAGGAAATCCCCTGCACGGATCATGTTATTCGCATATTTAATACTCTATTCCAAATGGCTATTGTTTAGTGCTTGGCAACTCTTCCTCTGTTACACTTTTTGAAGCCTAAATTGTGAACATAAATATGTATCTATATTGTTGGATATCTAGGACGCATTGCCAAGAAAGTGGTGAAGAAAGTTCAGAATCGGAGACAGTTTATTCACTTAAATGCCATATATCACATGATGTGAACCATTTGCATGAAGGGCTAAGACATGTAAGTGGTCTCCCCCCTCCTTTCTGGAGTACGAGACGGAATTGTTCTTGTAGATCCCTAGATGCGACTCTTTCGACGATTTTGTTTATTTACTGTAAGTTTACTGTATGTATAGAATATTCTTTTGCAATTGTTGTTAATTGGTTATTAGTAGACACTTCCAATTATTGTATGGCATTGACACCAAGGCTGGCCCAGTCTGTTATTAGGCATGTTCCTGGGCGTGGGTCTCTTGTTCCTCCCTTCATGTTACTATCCACAGTTGGCTTCATTCGAGAATAACTGCACCCATCGTTTTTGTAACTCAGCTAGGATAAAAATTCGTAGTTTCTTTTAATGCTTTGACTTCTTATGCGTTGTAATGTTGGTTATACCAACCTAGGTATTACTCCATCCAAGCGAAAACAAATAGATTAGGGAGTTAGTTGCCTACTCTGTGAGAACGATGTTTTAAAGAAATTTAGCTGGAAATTCTACGTAATTGTTCAGAAGAACTTCAGTTTCTTTCTCTATCTTTTGAATACCTCCATTGAAATGTTTTGAAAGATAAAGAGAATTTGGTTGATGGCCTGAGTTTGTACGGAGTAGCTACAGTTTACAGTTCTAATTAAATGGCCTGAGCTTGTATGGAGTAGCTACAGTTTGCAGTTCTAACCAAATTAGAGACTGACCTTGATATTCTGTTAAATGCTCATGATGAATTGTTGCCTGTGGTTTCTTTAACATGTTAAATGAGTAACCGTGCTCTCTTTACCAGAAGTGAGACAGTAGATACCGACCATCTTTTAACAATCATTTTAATTCACGTAGGGGTTGAAATCAGAATTGGAGAAGGCTTCCCCATCCCTGGGGCGGAGTGCAATTTATTTGAAAGAGTCTCGTATCAATGGCTTACCAAGGTAGCTTGGCATGATTTTCTTATATAATGATTGGAATGGATTTCTGGTTTTTAACTATGTATTATGCTGTAACTTGCCCTTTGAGATATCTACAGTCTAATAGAACGTCATTCTTTCAGATACTTGACCATTCAATTTGTTCGTTTTTTCTGGAAAAGGGAGTCGAATCAGAAGGCCAAGATATTGCGGGTAGGATGTTCTGCAGACTTGCTTTTAGAGGATTCGCTTATTTTCTTCTGTGTCATCAGAGATTCATTACTGTCGGAACCTTTCCCTTTATTGATGGGTGTATCAGATCTCTTACGCAAGGCAACTAACTAAAGTTTACCTGCTCTCAGAAAGTAGATTATCCGTTGGAGTTGGATGTTTATGATTTTTGTTCAGATGATTTACGGAAAAAGTTGGAAGCTCCTCGCCAGGTTTTTTATGTTACTGGTCTCAGCTATAATCCCTGTATGTGTTCTATTCTTTCTTATGCTGATTGTTCATTTGTTACTTGAGCACCAGCGCCTTAGGGATGAAGAAGGAAAAAAGCTTGGTCTGAAAGCAGCAGAGAAGAGCTCTACTTCAAAAGACAATGACGTGAAGATGTCTGATGCCGAGGTGAGTGAATGATGATACTCATGCAAATGAATGGATATAAATGGGGGTTTACTTTTGGATGTCTGATGTATCAACTGCTGGACAGGGTTCGTCAAAGGTAGCTGGGGGATTGTCTTTAACTACTTCCCAGGATGGTAAGTCTTGCCAACACATCAAATATCTGTTTGAGCTGTTAGTACCTAAGCCAGTCTTGATACTGGTCTCCTCGTTTAGTACATGCAATCGCTGTTTGTATTTTTGGGATGAAATTATGCTAATGCTGATTGCCTAGATACTTCTGTGCTTCTTAAGGGAATTTTGTTCCTTAAAAGTGATGGTGGTAGCTCTTAGTTCTGAGTGTATTTTGCAATATGTTGATATTAGGCTTTCCTCAATCTGTTTGTAATGGTACAAGACGGTGGTTTTCCCCTAGTAAAGACTGTTGTGGTTATAATTTGTTGAGCCAAAAAACTTTTGTAAGAGGAAATTGCCTCATAATACTAAGAAAATATGTGATCATCCATGTAAAGTGCATACGCGTGCTCTCTGTGTGTCCATGGTACTAGTTCTGGTTGGTGATGACCCTCTCAATTCTCATTCTTACCTTTAGGTGCCCCAGTTGAGGAGAAACAGTTGACTGGAATTTATGATTTGGTTGCTGTATTGACCCACAAGGGCCGGAGTGCTGATTCAGGACATTATGTTGCTTGGGTCAAGCAAGAAAGTGGTTAGTTATCTGCTAATCTACTTTCCAGCCAGGAAAAATCTGCTGTTACATTCTGCTATTCGTTCTGTTCGATGTAATTTTGAATTAAGAGTTGATGTCGGTTGTAGGTAAATGGATTTTGTTTGATGATGACAATCCTATTCCTCAGCGGGAAGAGGACATTACAAAACTGTCTGGAGGAGGTAAGGTCATCCAGATTTGTTATGAATTTCCATCTTACTAAGGACCTGATCCATGGTTATCAAATTTGTATGCCGTGTGTGCGCAACTGCAAAGAGAACCGGGGTGCTTGTGCTCTTATTCTCTTTTCCAAGTTATTTTCCTCTGTTGTCTCACGCAAAGAAATGTTCTTTTCATTGGTGTTTTTTTCTTCCTTTTCAGGTGACTGGCATATGGCGTACATATGCATGTACAAGGCTCGAGTTGTTCCCATGTGATTCTTTCATTTATTTTCTGCCGTCTAATGCTTGATACTGAGCATCTTTGGATTCATAAATTATTGTCTAGAAAAACTTTTGTGGCAGCTGTTGAGAACTGTGAAAATAGCTGTAAAAAGTCTTTGACAGTCTCTGTCTGTTTGTACCTTGCGAAGTGTGGCTCTGTTTGGCCATGTAGCATTTCACACTTCTCAGAGAGGGGAATGTTGGAAATATCGGACTCCAAACTCATCCAGATGTTTCAAATCTTGAATGTGTTTGGATGGTTCTGACATTGAATATCGGAACTATGATAGGGACTTCAGCAATGCTTGTCAAACGCAATAGAGCAGTCAGGCTGCCACTTTGCTTTTCCTCGCTTAGCAGAACCATAGAAAAACGAGGGAGGGCTGCTTACTCTTGCAAGACAATGGAAAGACGATCGAAGAACAAGTCTCACTCCCACGCAACTTGATTCACAAAATTACCACCAAACTAGATAAGCTCCAGCAATTGAGAATCTCTCATGCTACTACTACAATCTGCCGACACCTGCAATGGTCTGGTTACTTGTTTGTCCATAAGTCCAAGCAGAGGTTAAGATGAAATGGCATGTTCTCATTGCTAGCGAGGTAAAACGTACTCAAACATCACATGTATGCAAGTGGTCTTGTTCCACTAGTACTAGTAGGCCTCAATTATTGGAGGAAGCAAGTCTGGTGTGGTTGTTCGCCTTCCAGTTTCCGAGTACCTTCCTTCAAGAAGAGCACAAATGGGTGTGCTGCAGCAGAGTCGAAAGTCAACAATCCCTCCGTGGAAGAGCAGTGGGGCTTTGATTTAAAGAACTATAGACATGATTCTCACTTTCAGACGCATTTAAGCCTCACTGTAGACCAACACATAACCCGATATGGTAATAACTTAGTCAGGAATCAAATCGAGATCAAAGTCCAACCCTATTTCCTGCCCCAATCTTCAGTAGATTATCCATGGAAACAAGTTTTCGCCCTCGTTATATTCTATTGCCAGGAGCCTGCTGACTTGACTCGATCTTCCAACATCGGTGGGCATCCTCGCGCTTTAAAAACGAACGGAGCAAATCTTCAACATCGCCGGTCACGGTCAGCCATTCAACTTCTTAGCCCCTCCAAATCTGTCGTTCCCTCGTTCTACATAGACAAATCCCCCAAACTTGTCAGTTTGGCAGTTGATGACGAGACTTTTGAAGTGGTCCAATTCACAAACTATTGAGAGAGAGAGGGGGGATCAAGTTCGTCCCCTCTAGCTGAAAACTAGCACATCGATGAAGACCGAACGTGCAGGTCCAATGCAATGCACGACCGACCGATTGAACCGCCCTCTAGTTCTAGGTGAAGAAAAAATCGTTCGGTCCAAACTATTTTCTGCCTCTCATCGAGCATTGATTTGATAGTTAACTGAAATGGCATGCCCATTATTCAAATTTCCAAGTTGATGCATATAAGAGATACCAAAACAAGTATCATAACCAAGAGGCGATTCCAATCGACCCCACACGAGATGCAAAAAATTGACAAGATAAAAGAAAAAATGGCCCTTCTACAGCCCCGCAAGAGGAAAAACGGGACCAAATCCCACCAAATTGATCCCAACTCTCCTTTGACGTTTGCTATAGTGATTTATCGGTTACATATCGCTTTCGTAATTTTCTTTTACGGGTCATAATTTCTCTTTTGCTGTCGTAATTCTGTGATTATTATGGTTTGTAATATTTCACAAAAAAAAATCATCCGGTGTAAGTTCATAGAAAGTTTATTTTCCTAATGTGAGTAAATCACCAAATGGATTGTAACTTTCTTTTTTTTCTCTCGCTACGAAGGTCGTAGGTTCTTCGAGTTCGTAAGATTTCACAAGAATAGTAATGTACTTAAGTTAATTTGTAAACATCTTTTTGTGTTATTATTAGTAATAATCTAATTAGTCGTTTTCTTCTCATCTCCTTCTTTTCTTTTTCTTTTTTTTACCATTGAGGGCCGGCGAGGGGTTGCCAGACACCGTGAAGGACCAACGGCCCTTGCCGGCCACTGGGCGAGGGCCACAAACCCTCCTTAGTGGCTGACGAGGGCTCGCAGGCCCTCGCCTGGTGGCCGACAGCCCACTGCCGACCCTTAACAGTAAAGAAAACGAAAAGAACGAAAAGAGGAGAAAAGGAAAAAGAAAAAGAAAAGAAAAAATTAATTGAAAAATTGAAAAATTATATAAAAAATATATATTCTCGTCAACACCAGCCGTGCCATAGAGGACGGCCGACGTCCATGTTAGCGATTTCTGGCCAAAATTGGCATAAATGTAAAATGTTTATGATTAAATTGGTCAAATTGAAAAGTTTATAACTGAATTGATATCAATGCAATGGCTCCGTTAGTTTGGCGGAAAATATTCTCCTTTTGGAAAATATTTTTCTGGAAGTCATTTTCCTGGAAAATGTTTTCCTGGAACATAATTTTCCGGTGTTCGGCGACCAATATGAAAAAGTTTCGGAAAATATTTTTCGCCACAAGGCGACGGGCGACGCTGCGTCCGGCGATCGGGCGGCCGGCCACGGCGACCGGGCGGCCGGGCCCGGGCGGCCGGCGATCGGCGGTCGGCCAAGCGGCCATGGCGACCGGCGCGGCGGCCGGTGACCGACGGCTCAACGCCCGGCCTGGGTGGCAAGCAAGGGCGGTTCGATGGCGGCGGCGGCGGCCGGGGACCGGACGGGCTAACGTCCGGCAGATCCGGCGGTGGCGGCCGGCCACCGGCGGCGGCAGCGGTCGGCCACCGGCAGCGGCGGCAGCGGTCGGCCTTAGTGAAGAAGAAGAAGAAGCTCCGGAAAATGATTTCCGCTTTTGAAAAAGCGGAAGTCATTTTCCGTAGACTTGTGTTATTTTGTGAGGGGGGGAAGGAAAATATTTTCCCACGGAAAACGTTTTTCGCCCCCCGAACACCGGAAAATCCGGAAAATATTTTCCGGGAGAATATTTTCCGCTAAACGAACGGAGCCTTGTCTAAGAATTTTTTCCCCTAATTTATCCAAATATTCACATCGAATGTGAGACCCATCTCGTGAAAACACTTGTGGGACAGTAGAAATTCCACAAGGACAAGAGAAACGGAGGAAACTTCACAATCAGATGGAACAACCCAAAAAGCAAGGGAGCTTAAAAGAAGAAAAATCTGTCTTGTCCTTGTAAGCTAGTGAGGAGGCAAGATTGCATTGGAAGAGTGGGCTGCTTTCTTTCCCTCGAATCCAACCATTTTTCTCATTGTCCCAAGAGCGACAAGTCGTCCAACCCTCACGCATGTCGACGTGCTTACAGACGGTAAAACCGTGCGTGCATGCTTCACACCCGACCCGAAAAACCGACTCTGCGTCTACGGCAATGCAGAAGGTTTGCTCATGACAGTACTAGCTGCATGATTTATTTAGCTTAGATATAGATGCACTTTGTAGTCTCTAGATTATGAAGACACATAATGGATTACAAATTGTACTTATTTTTCTTGTTACATCGCAGGTTTCTTCGTTATCATTTTCAGAATTAACTCTATCGTGCGATGTTGGCAAAAAAGTGAGTACTGATCATCTCGCAATCTTACATAAAATCACACACTAAGCCAGAAAAGAGAGAACCTAACATGAAATCACAAAATTACACTAGGAAATATCGCCATCCCTTGGTTGCGTGCTGGTCTTTCGGCCTTCACATGTGAATGCAACCTGCTGATGATGATGCTCTCGTCTTGCTTCGCGAGATCTCTGCGGTTCCCCCCCCGAGCAATCTCGTTCTCATTTCTCGAATTGGCAATTTCACCGGACTCCTCCTGTTCAACATACTGTTCATCACATATTACCATCTCTCGTCTGTAGTATTCTTGAAGCTAGTGTACTCTAAATAGCAAGACCATCGTGCATGATCAATATGATCCTCCCGCCCCCTTCCATCTCGTCGCGAGTCAAGATCCACTTCAGGCCCCATGACAGAACCCGAACCCAGACTCGAGACCGTGTTCAGGCTAACTCCATATTCACCGGATCCCGCCCCCGATCGGCTGACACATTCCAACAGGGCCCCTTCTGTGGCGTTAGACTGCCGGGAGTAAGCCGTGGTTGACTCTTGGAGCTGCAGCCCATGCTTACTGGGTCTCGGGTCAGGATCCGGTTCCGGGTTCTGGCGTTTCGGATTGGAGGCCCGTTTGGTGGAGGAGCTCTTGCGGGTTCCGCCGCCGACGGGGATGTTGCGGAGGGAGCCGCCTTTGGTCCAGTAGCGCTTGCAGTTCTTGCAGAAATGGCGGGGCTGAGAGAGGTTGTAGTTGTTGAAGTAGCAGAACTTGGTGTTGGTCGAATCGCAACGTGGGCATATCAGCCTCTCTTGCTCTGGGAACTGTAGCTTCGTGCTCTGAAACGCTGTCGTCTCTTGCATCTCTCTCTTTGTGAGACTGATAGCGCCACGAAAGTCTGGAACTTTGTGATGGATGGTAGTGACGAAATTGGTTTTGAGATCACAAGGGAGTGAGGAGTTATTGAGCTTTGAAGTGGTAGGAGTGAAGATCGGGACGATCAGCCAAGTCTAGGGACCAGAAAAGATAGATTGAGAATGATCAACAAGAATTGGTAGCTCGAGAAGAAACTTGCGGAGTAAAGAAGGGAATTTGGAGAACTGAGTAAGATGAGCAAATCAAATTCAGTCAGCAACACGTGAATTTGAGGAGCCTTTGTTCAAAGAAGAGAGAGAGAGAGAGAGAGAGAGAGAGAGAGGATCAGAGTGACAAAAACAGAGAGGTTTGGATGTTTCTCAGTCCAAGTTGTGGAATGGAATATCATTTCAACAACCGTGAATAATTGAAGAGCTTCAAGCTGCAGAGAGAGAGAGAGAGAGAGAGAGAACCAGCTTGGTCCCAAAATTTTGAATGAAACTGCTCTTCTGGTTGAAAGGTAGATAGATGAAGATGAACTTTTGAGTGATCTGGGTTCTTATCACCTTCGAATGCCATTCAAGAACGAACAGAGAGAGCTTAAGATGCTGTTTTGATCTAGGAGGTGAGATGCCATAACAGTTAGAGATGAGGAGGAAGGAGTCACGGGTCTGAATTCTTGAAATACGATTCTGTATTATGATGAACGATCTTTATAACAGGCCCATATAATACGTACTTAGGGTCTCAACGAGTGGTATTCTGGGGCACCCTATTATTATCACTATCATCCCCATATCATCCTTTTCTTGGACCAAAACAGAGTCCAAACTACTATTCTCTACCTCTACTTAAGACTCTTGCGATCTGTCTTCAGGTAGAGAGAGAGAGAAAGTCACCGCTGTGGCCCCCCCAATCTCTCTCTCTCTCTCAGCGAGTCATAAACTAGACCGACATACTTTGCTGAAGTTCTGGGATATCTCTAATCACATTGATTTAGATCCCCCCCCACCTTAAAAGTGTAACCTGGCCTGTGTCCGCCAAGTTGACTTGGAGAAGCACTCCTCTGGTCGGCAGATGAGAACAAATGTCCGTCGTGGCCGATGTCATGGGGCTTGAATTTTTAAGTCCTGATCAAACGATCTAATAATTCAATTTGATATGCTCAGCGCTCGATGAAAAGGTAACTTCTGTAAGATAGTATATCCATGCTAGAGGAGGGAAATCAGGGTTGTTTAGGACTCCCGCTCAAACTTTATTTTAAGCCCAAGACTACTGAATGAATCCTCAAATTTGTCTTTAGCATCGAGTAGGGTTCTTAAGACTTCTTCTCACTGTTCAATCAAGATTCTCAGCAACCTGATTTGTTCAACTATGCTCCTGTTGACCGAAAGAACATGAAACCAGAGAGAGAGAGAGAGAGAGAGAGAGAGAGAGGGAGAGAGAGAAACTAGCAGGAAGAACTACCGAAGAAGCAACAATATATTCATTTTTTTAAGCAGCAACATCCTTTGGCCCCAAAAAGTGGGACCGACCTCTTAGACCATGTTCTTTCATTTGGCCATGGCAATATCCACACTGTTATGTTACCTAAGAACAGTAGCCAAAACCCTAATTAAACTCGGTCACCAGTGAGGGCCGTGAGCGCGCTTCTCCGTCCCGCCTGTTCAGGAGCTTAGGCCCGAGCGCCAAGAGTTTCCTAGTTGGTGTCGTTGATCCTCGATACAGAGCAAAGAGTTGGGAAATTACTAGACACGAGACTCAAAAGATGCATCATTATTGATATTTGGACTAATTAATTCTCAATACTCTCGCTTCTCGAGAATTTACCTGCAATTAATAATGTAGGATCTCCACTTCGACCGCCATGGTACTTCTTTATCATGTTTAAACACCAATCCATAACGGATTATCTTCCCAATAAATCGGACTCTATCTCCATGGTCGGTTAGATATGAACTCCACCATAGAATCCGAAATCCTCCAAAGCTTTTCAGATTCATTGTGCATTAATGAATGCATGCCCACTCTTAGAACCAGCATAAACTCGCTTTCGTTTGATCATTTATTCACTTTTTTTAGAGGCAAGCATGGAAAAACATATGTAATAATGTTTATAGGAAAAGAAAATATTGTGATATTATTGATAGGAAGATCGAATAGGATAAGAGCGACGTAAATCTCACGAAGCTTCACGTGGGGGGTGAGGGTGGGACCCAAGGAGTGGATAAGCCGATGAGCCCTCCACCTTGCCTGGAGGCTTACACGATATACACGGAAAAATTGTCAAATCAGTCCTAAACCTATTGTACGACGGCCAATTCAGTCCTAAACCTTTTAATTTTGTCAATTCAGTCCTAAACCTTTCTAATTCTTGTCAATTCAGTCCTAAACCTTTCTAATTCTTGCCAATTCAGTCCTTCCGGCCAATTTTGGCCGGCCGGCGCTGACGTGGCAATTTTTGGGTATTTTTTTTTCAATTTTTTAATCTTTTTTTTCCTTTTTTTTTTTCTGATTTCTTCCTCTGGCCGGTCCGACGACCGGCGACCGGCGGCCGGCCAGAGGAAGAAATCAGAAAAAAAAAAAAAGAAAAAAAAGAAAAAAAAAGATTAAAAAGTTGAAAAAAATAATAAAAAATTGTCACGTCAGCGTTGGCCTGACGGCCGGCGCCGGACGGCGGCCACATCAGTGCCGGCCGGCCAAAATTGGCCGGAAGGACTGAATTGGCAAGAATTAGAAAGGTTTAGGATTTAATTGGCAAAATTAAAAGGTTTAGGACTGAATTGGCCGCCGTACAATAGGTTTAGGACTGATTTGACAATTTTCCCCGATATACACAGACACATTTCATGACTTGCTGATAAGATGTTCAAATGGATTGTATGAATTATTCGATAACTTTGACAAATCATAATCTTCTGTAACTCAATTTGTTAAACTAGAAAAAAAGTATTGTGCGCACAATTTGAGGCTAAATCATTCGTTGATTCGAGATTCAATCAGTATGAAAAAGTAATCAAATACCTGCACCTATTAAGAGAGGGCACAAGAAAAAAGTAAAACCGTAAGGGAGCCAATCGGTCCAAATTCTGTTTAGCTTCTGAATTTGCTTGGCACAAGATTGTACTCTGAGATTCACTTCTCCTGGTTCTGCAGATGGAGAATGCTCCTAGTTAGGTCTAGAATTAATCTTCCCAAGGGAGCATATGTTTTCATTGTGCTGGAGAGTCTGGCGTGGGACTGGGCTTTTTCTATATCCAGAAAACTCCCTTCAGGGTGGGTCGAGCTAATCAAAAGATTAGGATTTCTTGCTCTGAGAAGATTTCAATTCCGACTCGGATTCGCATCTTCAGGTCAAGGCCAAGGGAAGAAACTGCAACGAAATCTCGTATTCTCTAACATGGAGGGGTCCTTCGAATGATGATTGCATTGGCTTGGTGAAGTGGATGGACTTAGCATAGTACAGGGGAATAATTTACGAATGAAACCGCAACATTTTGCTAGTTACTAGAGCCACAAACCAATCTGCCAGGTGGTGTAAAAATGACATGTTGACAATGACGAGAGAGAGTTTCCATTTTATATTCCAAGAAAGCACCGGCCGAACTTCGCTAAAGTTCCGTGAGTATGAATCACGACAATTCCAATGCATTCTGTTGCTTTTGATGGTGACTCAGAAGAGATCAGCAGGATCACTTCCCTTTCGCCTTTTATATTATCCTCCAAGATGTCGTTGCCACCTCATAGATAAATACGGTAAACTAAACATCTAGTGCCAAGGCCACAATCAACCAGGGCAAGGAGTTCAAAGCAACAACTAATGGCAAGGCAACCTTCACTCGGACAGCAGAAATCGGAGAGAGATACCTCCAAAACGAGTGGATTTACAGAGTTGAGTTGAACTGGTTTGGTGTGAAATTGGTCAAGTTGAGCTTGGTTTCTGTTTCCACAGATCAGCAGGCGAGACTTCAAGGAAAGAAAGGAAATAGAGAATAGGTATCTAATAACAATCAGATAGGTATTGGTTCGAATCATCTGCATCTGGTGATCACTCGATGCGATCTCACCAAAAAGGAGACCCGTGAGAAATATGGCTTTTGGTGCGCCTAGTGCGGTGTCCGGTAAACAATATATCCAGGTATTTAGGCACTGAACTAGTAATGTCTTTAGCGTCAATGGAGCCGCACAGAAAAGACAAGAAATGAATCAACTGAATTTGAGATGGGAAGTACATAAGACTAAACTAATGTGTTAATGCCACAGCAAAGATTTGTCTACACTGAAGCTCAAAAGTATATAAAAGAAAAATCTCGCACTGGAGACCCTATCGGTGACCTAACTCACCCACTTATGGAAATCTAAACTGGAAGTACTAGATCCTTTATTACCAAAGCAATTTCTTTCAGACATGATATCCCGTGATTGTAAACCCTCTTCCAATAATCTCACCAGCACAGAACCAGGCAAAACACTCAAAACCAAACAAAGCAGCTATGCCAGCATTCTCAATGTTCAGCTCCTGCTTGTTCTTCCATAGTTGCTTGAGATAATCTACTTCCTTCCAAAATGCCTCACGTCTACCAGGGATGCTGTAGACAACATAAAGAGATACGCATTTCAACGTTACAAATAGCATCACTGACAAGAACTCTTAAGCAGAATTCATTTCCGTATATTTGCACTGCAAATCCACATGTTCAGCGACTTTAGCTATTCGAATGAATTTACCACTATAACTCTGTACGTGGAGTTCTACCATGTCAAAATTGAAAATTTTTAACAAAAATATGCTTGTTAAAACCATGATAACCTGTTGGAGGTTATACCTCCAATCTTGACAATTCGAAATTCATCCTATCCTATGTACATTATCAGAGCCTTCACAAGCCCATCATGAATATAAGATAAAGGCTAAAGTACTCTGCGCATGTTCTGTGACATGTGTGGACTCTTCATAGATGAAATGCGCGGCAGAACGGCCTATTTAAAAGAGCCAAAAAGAAAACTTTGCAATTGAATATCAATGTCTTGGGCTCTCAGAAGATCAGATAAAAGGGAAGTTTTATGGTTCCCAGGGGGACGGATCCCCCGGCCGTAACTTGTCGTATCTCCTTGCTGTTTTCCATTACTCCAATACAAAATGCTGTAACACACATGAACCTAAATTTTTTTCGATCAACCAGTGAGATTTACTCTCTTTTTCATCCGATGGCCATCTAGGGATTGGGGATCCCGTCCCCAAGAGTCCTTAGAAACACCCTAGATGGAAATCGCAATTGATCATTTTAGATGTCAAACTAAAGGACATGAAAGGGGGCGGGAGACATAAACCATGGTTCGGATCATGAAGCCCAATTTTCAATCATGTCAATTCCCAATAACAAGCACAAAAGTGCATATGTATGAACTTGTTTATAGCTAGTAAGGACCTGGCAAGACGAGTGTAAAGCAATTGGTTGGACAACAGTTGGCACTTCTCCACACTGGGTGGCTCCTGAACATATTGCTTGTTCTGCTCCATCAACTGCTTGTAGTAGGCATTTCCATGCTTCGTGGCATATTGAGTTGCCTGAGCCACCTTCTTCTGCAACTGAAGCAACTTCGACGCCATTGCTTCCTCCTACAATTTTCCCAGCACACACCACCGTTCAGATACACCGTTCCACCCAAAATTCATGCGCATTGAGCTGCACACCATTACTTCCCATACATCTCGATCTAAATCGCAACAAGAAGACACACCCGAATGTTTAACAACGCAAGAATCGCCACAACACCAGAGCTCGCACTCACGTGACTAAAACCCCATCAGAACGAAGCCCGAAACCCGTATGCCGCCATCGCGTAGCGACCATCGGAACAGAGAGCAGCAGCAACTGCTGCCGGCTCCGAGACTATAACCGGTCGGAATTTCCATCAATTCACGTATGGAAAGACTACCCACCCATTTTCACCAGATTATCATCAGAAACAGAATCGCGAGAATGTGTGAGAATCGGGAGAGCAAAAAGGCGAGATCAACGTTACCTCGGACCAGTTCGGTGGACCGTCCGTGTGTTCCTGTTCTCCTTTCTACGTGAAAAAGAGAAAAGACGGAGCTTTAGACCGACGACGGAGGGGTTAGGGGTTTTGACTGTTGACTTCGCCGAGCGAAACGTCGGCGTTCCAGTTTAAGGACCAATTTTTTTGCGTATCGTATTATGATACCACGTACGGTATGGACGCTTTAGTGTCGTATGAGACTTTGACGTGTGCATTATTTAACAAAATCCAGAATTTGTCGAAGTAACGTCACTAGTTTGAACCAACCCATGCTCCAATCGAATCATCTTTGCACCCGTTCGATATTTTTCTTTCACAAGTTCGTGTCATCTTAAGTCGAGGTAGCGCGACGCAACTTTAGAGTTGGATTTTAACGGTGTTTTCATCTAAGCCAGGTACGGGCATTTCAAAAACATATTTGGCAGGTGAATACGGGCGAAAGAACGAGATTTGGTTCGGGTTGGTAGTAGATACTAAGACTACATAGAGATATACACCCCCAACAAATAAACACAAACATATGTCCTGATCTCTTTTCTCTGTCAATCATCAGTATTTCACAAAATTGATCGTCTAAAATGTATAAATGTTCACGTGTAGTACACAAGCACTTGCCCTTTATTTTACAACACGTAACGGGCACGACAATCATTTGTCAGGGTTATGTTGAGCGAGAAAATAACCCAAAGAAAATCGGGCTTCTTCAGACATAAAAGCCCGAAACATCATATGAGAGGTATTACAGTACAGAATCCTTGATGATCAGACAACGTTTTTGCTTAGCTTATGTATCTTTGTACTAAACGCATCTATTCCCTAAGGTTTGAGCAATATGGCTAGGATAGATAGAACTCTGATGCACTAGAAATTTGGGGCGACAAAAATAGAAATAATCAATGGAGGAGAGAGCTTCCAACCGAGGGACTGCAAAAAACAAAGACAAAATACAACATCAAAAAAGTCCAGAACCAACCCTTCTATGAAATCTTTAGCCAAGACAAAAGAATCAATAAAAAAATCGATGCAGTGAGTGTACCAAACAGCTCCTTCCCCACCAGAACTTGAATAAAGCTACAGTCATAATCTTAAACCTAGTGGAAGTTATAATAGAACATTCTTCAGTTCTTTTTTCTTTTTTTGTTCCTTTTTTTTTTTCTGGTTGTAGGAGAGCTACAATCGCATACCCTTTTCCGACTTCAACCCAGAAACAAATTTAGAACAGAACACGGCACCTTCCCTTTGAGAAAAAGGTGCCCAAAGAGAGAGAACAAATAATTGGGGAAAGAAAAGAAGAAGGAAATTCCAGAGAGGGTTAAAGAGCAGTGGGTGGAGAAACATGCGAAGCAAACTGCCACAGCAGGACCAAAAATGAGTTGCTTCCTCACTGATTTCCGGGGCAAAGACCCTGTGATACAGCTTTAACTTTTTTCGAAACCACATGCTACAAATCTAACAGGCACTTGGGAGGTGAGATGCGATTCGGTCCCCGCAGCCTTCTTCTCCAAGAGCAGCCCGAACCAATACCATCAAGAGTATCTGTCACTGTCCCATCGTTATGCGTAATACATGTACAAGCTATTTGCAGCAGCACAGGCAATTGAGTTTTCAGACGGGTGCCATGCGAGGTGCAACAACTTCGTGGTGGAATCGATGGAATTTCCGTTGGCATCAACTGAGGGTGATTCTGCCCCTGGTTTTGATCTCCCAAAACAATGTTAACCTCATTGTCATGAAGAAACAACAGCAACAACAACAAAGGACAGCTGCTACTACTAGAAGAGACTGAATGGTTCACTAAAAGTAAAGGAACAAAGTAAGCGAAAAGGACAGACCTCGTCGGACTACTCGTGTAATACTGCTGAGGGATCTGGAAGGCCTTGAAGGAGTCGGAACTGGTTTTCTGGGAAAAAAAAAACAGCATCATTAAATTGACATAGATCTCCATGTGCCATCAGAAAAAAAACCGCCCATATTCTTCTTATTCATTAAGTGAATACTAATTTACCTCATTGGATTTTTGCTGGCTTCCAAAGTTGTTGCCTCAGTACTCCCCGGCACACAACCAAAGACGCGGAAGAGATTACTGGACATGAAGAAATATCCATCTGAAAACCAGAAATCATGTATGCAGTTCATATGGAAAGAGAAAAGCAGAGTTGCACAAACCTGTATGAACCTGTCGCCACTCGTAACCCATCACCACTTAGACAACACTCAAATTTGTCAAATATTGAATCATTTTCGTACAAATCACACAACTGAAAAAACAAAATAGTAAGTTAGAAACTAAACAGCATAATGCAACGATCACTTCCTGACTAGTTTCTTTAAAAAATGTCACCTTGGGTCTCAGATATTCATGGACCTGGAAGGTTGCAACCGGACCTGAATCCATGTTGATATCCCATAACTGGGGTAAAAAAAAAAAGAGCAACTTATTCAGAAGTGCGAGAAGATCAATTTAAAACTAAATACAAGTTGCAAATTGATCAATTGCCCAGCAGCAAGCAGACAACGATGTTATGGTGTTAGGCTCGTTAAAAAGTGAGGTAGGTAAACCAATTCACTTTCTCCCTCACTTAAGAGGAAACACAGCTTTGAACCTATTCAGAAAACTTCAACTGCTGCATTCAGCTGACCTTTAGAGCAGGTCATCTCAGGATCCTTTGTTTTCTAGTAGAAAAAGACACTCTGGAACTCCATACTTCGATCAAAATTTAGCTTCAGCATGCGCATGTTTATTATACGCTTAATATAGGGATTACCAGGGGAGTTGAACACACAAGGTAACAAAAAGGGATAACTTTAATCACACTAAGAGTTTTAATCTCTAGCTGCTGTATCAAAGAAAACTTTGTGCCAAACAAGAACAGAAGCAGAAAAACAGATATCCAACCTTTAGAGTCATATAGTCACGACTAAGTATATATCTCCCATCCCTTCCAAACTTAATATCTGAAATCGAAGCAATAATCTCCGTGAAAAATGATTTAGATCCAGGTTGTTCCGGCTCCTCAAATCTGTATGCACAAAAATCCATTAAGTCCACAATGACCGACCATAAAATTCTTCAAATTTTCCTCACGAAGGGAGGATCCCACAAGAAACAAATTAACAACTGCATAAACGAAAGAAATGAAAATAGAAACTACTCTTGACAGGCCTTCTTAAGTAGTTCAAAAGTTATTGTTTGCAGTTTCCCATAACAAAAGCTCTATGCATGCAATAGTACGTAGATCAAAGCAAACTAATGGCATTACTCACATTTTGGCATGAGAATCCAACAGAGCTGATTGTCGCAAATCAATGAGGCGGATGCAGCCTTTTGAACTGCTATATGCCAACAGATTACAATGTGTAGGGTGGAATTCAGCTGATGTTATCACCTCTGTCAAGTTCATGTACAAATCCAAACATTCAGTGAAAGCAAGCAAAGGGAAAGAAACAAAATAAGCATCATGCAGTATGTCAGGGCTAAGCCTGAGATATCTCACAGCTCAACCTATCCATTCAGAATCAAGAGACAGTTCTATGCCAAAAAGATTTTACACGTTTTACTAAAAGTTAGATGGAGCCAACCTCTACAACACTCATTATACTAATGCACAATAACAGCACCTGAATTAGCTTTATCATTGCAAAAACCTTTAATAAATGCTAGTATCTCAATTCTCGAAGGCGACTAAGAAAAAAAGGATCTGGAGAGATACTAAATAAAGCTTACCAGTTAAGTCCTCCATATTTGCTGGCTTTACATCAACGATGTTGAAACTTTGATTGCTAATTTCTAAGTTCCATAAGTTTATACGCAGATCATCAGCAGATATGAATGTTTCACCGTCACTGAACAATATGAAGAATGAGGCTTATCAACAAAACAAGCTAAAAACCAAAAGTAGATAATCTGCAAACCATTAAAAAAAAATCGGCAAAACATAATTTTATGCTTAAGTGCAACAATAAGAGATGCCTACAGAAAGATTCTCTTTGATCTAAAGCCACAAAACAGCATTTCACCAGTCTAAGAATTTTAAAAGGTTTGCTATGAGTATGAGAACAACATTACACTTCCACCATGTCAACTTCATTCAAGAAAAGAACTCTAATTGGAAGCACTAGGGGATAATTTTTCATCTCTTATTTTCCTACCCTAGTAAAGCTGAGTGCCAAGGCCACGAAGGTTGAGTCATGCAAAAAAGCATGAGGAGTTAATATACATGAGGACAAAAGTCAAGGTATCACCTTAAAACAACATACCTATTATTTGAAATGGAATTGATATGATAATCATGAGCATGAGCATACACCCTTCGACATCTGGCAACCAGACTAGTCTCGTGGCTGGTCACCTGTAAAAAGAGTTCCAGGGTCAAACCACATGTGGTTCAAACATTCCAAACAACATGACACAAAGAGACAACCAAGAGCAAACAACATACACGATCACAAAAAACGAGATATAAAAATGTAAGGGGAAAAATTGCCAGACATTATATCAATAGAGCGGGTTGAGCACAACTACCACAGGTAAGCGTAGTGAAGGGATGCCTCCTGGAGGGAATGAGAAATCATTGCTAAGAGAATCGTATGATCTCTCTGGGGATCCCCCATTTGCCAGACATGTTCTGTGGCTGTTTGAACTGCTGGAGCTCGCAACAGTACCATTGCTTACAGCTTTAGAAGGGTCCACATTCATTTCAGAAATCTTTTTTATCTTCTTCTCCTGGACCTAGTCAATTCTCAATAGAAATTACAAGAAGTAAACTCCAAGAGATGCCGGCAGAAAAACAACTTCAGACCAAAAAACTAAGATGGTTAAAGTTCAAAACCATTACAGCCAATAATATAACAATTTGAACAATTTGGACAAGATCATGTCCTCTAACCCATGCCAAGTATATACTGTTTACATTAAAAACAGGGGTTTGTCTTCAACAGCTTGCCTGTAAGGAACTCCTTACCATTACAATCGACTTATCGAGAATGTTAGTGAGTTATAACTCTGTGAAATAAAGAGTACAGGAGGAAGCACAGTACTGTAGTTATCTTAATACATGTTTACAATATACATGAGAAGCTATCCTAGATGGAAGCATGATATACAACTCCCAAAAAAATATCATGATTACAATGTACAAGTTACTTTCTTGCAGGATCAATAGACGAGAAATCTTCCCTAGTGCTAATGTGTGTGGGTGTGCGTGTGAGAGAGAGAGAGAGAGAGCTCGTTGACTCTCTGAAATTCTATGACACTTAGAATGAGAATAGACAAGTCAGCATAGAGATCATTAGCAAGTAACAAAACCCACAAAAAACTTTCACTTCGTAAAGAACTTTAAACAACATGAAGCGCAAGTTGTTGCATACTCATCTACTGAAAGTTATTCTAACTATAAAGAAGGAAGCAGCAGACACAAGCCATAATCCTACCTTCCAGAACTTGATAGTTTTATCATTGGTAGATAAAAGAAATAGAGCACTATTGGCTGTTTGGCACCATCTGATTTTATTGATTTTCTCCTCTATCTCCAAACTCTTCAGATAGTCAAACTGACAAGATAAACCAAGACACAAACAGATCAGGAATTCCAAAAGGCAGACAAAACTCAATATGAGACAGCAGAATGTACTAAAGACTGCTACCTCAGGCTCATGGCTCTGAAACTCTGTCTTGTAGCGAAACTCGGGATGTCTACTAACAGTATGGTCGATTCTTTCCAGATCCCTTCGGGATCCACCAACCTAAAATTGATGACATTAAGTAAGCTGAGGTATAGGACAGAGATGAAATTAAGTAACAGAAACCACTAGGACAGAGATACTCACATCTTTTGTATCGGTCCTTTCAAAAAGAACCACCCGACCACCCCGGTCACCCGTGGCAAGATGATCACCGGTTTTATCAAACTCAATTGCTGATATGATATCAACTGCAAACACATTACGAAGTCCATGATGATCATCACATACTTCGACAAGACAAATGTGTAATGGTGAGAATAGGACAGTACAGTAATCCTTCGTCAATGCAGTCATGAATCATTCTACTCTAGAGATGCTATTCAAAGTACATATTTTATGCACGATAGTTTCATTTCTTTCAACGCATAGGGAGATTCGCCAAAAACTAATGAAACTGAGGGAACTTAAATAGCATGCATAGCTATCATTACAAAAGGTAAGAGATAAAGAAAAAAATCTTAAATCACCGAACAAATAGCTATGCATCACTCCTCAGCTACTCCACTCTCATTCCCCCATTTGACCACGCCATGTACTAATATCCAGCCACACCACATCGAAACCAAGTAGAGATACACCGGTACAAAGTTAACAACTGCACAACTTCTAATGCACTGAGGAAGCCAACTTGACCAATCTAAGTACATAGTGCTAGATTAGAAGACACGGTAAAAAGGCAGAATCTTTGGAGCTGAGAAGAACCAGTCCTGACTGCAAAAGAAATGCATGCAACTCACTGACTTCCCCCAGCTCCATCTAACATTCCCATCCGAATCAAACTAGCGCACTGAACTAAAATCAGACTTCATCGAAGCATAGCATGCGCAGCCCTGAATCAATCGCACCTCAGAAACCCACTAACACCCATCATACAAATCACGCGAATCGAAATCGACAGTCCTCAGAAACTCAAACGAAATAGATCGAAACCGCCCGAACCGAGCGGCAATCGAGACACACCGCACAGATCGGATCCAAGCACGCAAACCCTACGGCCCGCCCTAGCCACACAGCACGCGCCCGCATTCACCCCTAATTTTCTCTCTCTCTCTCTCTATCTCTCCCTCCCTTCTTTGTTTCCCCCCTTACCTTCTTGGATTTCTTCGCCGGCGGCGCGCTCGCCGAAGACCTGCGAGAATTTCCACTCGAGAGGCGGCCGCAGCGACCTCCCCGACGCCGCGACGACCTCATCGCCGCCGTTCATCTCCCCCTCCCTCCCGCCGCGCGCGCGCGCGAGAGACGCGAACACACGGGCCCCGGAGTCGCCGAAACCACGACGGGTCGACAGAATCAGCGCGCGCGCGCGCCCCCGCACCCCCCCGGGGGACCACCCCGAAATCACTTCCGCACCGGAGATCCACTCCGACCCACCATGACCAACCAACGAGAGCTCCCCCGCGCTTCCGCGTGATCAAATCGCTCGGGAAACCCCCGAAAACACGCACGCGCGCACAGCTTCAGAGGAGAAGTGATTCCGAAGCTCCCGATTCGACGACCATTGGATCGCCCCCCACGAAGAGTTTTTCACTTGTTCGACTGTGCGTGGATTTTTGGTTTTTTTTTCTCTCTTTTTTTTTGGCCCCCTTGGTCGCGAGGAGGATGGGGATGAAACGAAATGACTGTGATGAGAGCGAACCGTTCTTTAAGGGAGAAGGAGAAGCTAAACAAGAAACACCACCAATGGGGACTCCCTCTAATTTCTTCCCCCCCTCCTTTCTGGCCCCTCTTTGTCCGGTAGTTCCCTTTCCCTTCTCTCGTCTCAATCACGTAATGCCATCGTAATTCGTCATTGGCTTCTTATTTTGTTTTTTACCTTACTTTTTTTTAAATTATTTTTATTCACGCCGTGCCCCTGCTGTAGCCACGACAGTTTCGACCGGATACGACGCGATGAAGTACGAAAGGTTATCAAGGCGTGTCGAATCGCGTTGATCTATACTTTTTTTTCTTTTCCGAATGATTCGTATGTATATTTGGTGATAGGGAGAGTGACCAACTTCGGAATATTCGATTTGAGCCATAAAAGATTCTCTGTGTAAAGTCTGGATCCTAGGAGGATTTCCATCCTCACGGCTTTGCAGAGGCCATACACCTGTCGCGGCAGCGCCAGTGTATCTCGACCCGCTTGTGAATCCACTTTTAAAAAGAACGGGTATCTCGATCCGCCTAAACTAGATCAATTCTATCGAGACAATTTAACGTCGAAAAGGATTTCGATTCCAGGTCCGGCATACCCGGACTCGATCGTCGGTCCGGTCTACCCATCGAGCATGAAAGGAAAGTACAAAGTACCGTGTCCTCCTCGCCCCACGGCACGGCCATCATGCTCGGGCGATGTGATCGAACGAAATTTAACGTGCAACACGATCGTGCCGTGTTCAAGCCGTGCGTATTCAACTATGGACCGAAGAAACGACCGCGCTCTTTAGGGCCCAGTGAGAAAAGCGGGATCCGATTGGGTGGGGTGAGGGATGCGAGTGACCGGCGGTTAGATTAACGAAGTGCAGGACCTAAAACTATCATGCAGTCGCGGACTTCAGAGGGAGGGAGGGTGGAATGACGTGGATGCCCCTCGAGTCTTCTCGCCTTCCGGTGCTGCACGTGGGGTCTTTTTTGTCTTTGGCATCGGGCGTAGAGATCGATGGGTGGGGGGACGGTCAATGGTTGTGCGATCGAACGGTCGTAAAGGGACGGGAACATTGCGCGTCTCGCTTGGGGGTTGTCGCCGCGCGTGAGATCTCTCGATGTTTAGGTGCGGCGCGGTGCGCGCTGGGGCTCCGCAAGAGAGAAAAATTTGGGTAAGCCCGACCGAGGTCGATCGAATTGATTAAGGTTCGGAACTTAAGCTCCGTTCGTTTGGCGAAAAATATTCTCCTTTTGGAAAATATTTTCTCGGAAGTCATTTTCCTGAAAAATATTTTTCCGGAACATAATTTTCCGGTGTTCGGCAATCAATGTGAAAAAGTTTCGGAAAATATTTTTCGCCGGCGACCGGCGGCGGCGTCCTAAACCTATTGCACTTTTGTCAATTCAGTCCTAAAAATTTTAATTTTGTCAATTGAGTCTTAAACCTTTTCATTTCTTGCCAATTGAGTCAATCAGGTCAATTTTGACCGGAAATCGTTGATGTGGACGCTGAGCTGCCACGTAGCGCTGACGTAGACATTTTTCTATAATATTTTAATAATTTTCTGAATTGTTTATATTTTTTTCTTCTTCTTTTTCGGATTTTGAAGCTAGGGCCGACAATCCTAGCCCAGATCTGGCTAGGCCGCCTAGCTAGATCTGGGCAAGGCGTTGCGCGCCCTCACTTGGTTGGCGAGGGCATCGAGGGCCGCGACGCCCTTGCCCAGAGCCGGCGAGGGTTGGCCAGCCACCCTCGACGGCCCTAGCTTCAAAATCTAGAAAAAAAAAAACTGAGAAAAGGAAAAAAAAAACATAAAAAAATCATAAAATTATTAAAATATTATATACAAAAGTCCACGTCAGCGCCACGTGGCAGGCCGGTATCCACATTAGCGATTTTCATCCAAAATTGGCCGGATAGACTCAATTGACAAGAAATGAAAAGATTTAGGACTAAATTGTCAAAGTTAAAAGATTTAGGACTGAATTGGTAAAAGTGCAATAGGTTTAGGACTTTTTAGACAATTTTCAAACAATTTTCCTGAAGTGAGATTAGTTGAATTGATTAAGTTTCAAAGACTAATCGGCGTCATAGGTTAATTGAGTCGATAATGTTATTAACATTTATATTGTTTTTACGCCGCGATCGAGTGGTGTACCGAGAAGCAAGATTCTCACGCCGAGAATCCATCTCGAGACTAAGCGATTTGAGAGAAAAGTATTGTGTTCCTCCTTAATTTGACCCTCCGGAACACAACGCCGAGACGAAATCAAACGCGGGATTGCAAATTCTAAGGACATAAAGCAGCTACGGACTTCATGACGCGCGATTACTCTTGTGGGGTCACGACTTCGGTAGTCGATGGGCTGGAAGATACACTAAAGTATGAGCAATCTCCCTTCGGCTTGGAAATATTCATGCAAATTGAAATTAGAATATCCCGTGTCCTGATCATTCGTGCGTGATTATTAACGTGTATAAGTATCGGTAGTGGCACGAGTGAGAGCTCGTTGGGTCTAGTTTTTTTTCTTTTCGATGAATGGAGCTTCCGCTTTGATACAGGAGTGTGAATAGTGGGCCTAGGCTGACCATTTCCTTCTCGAGCCTAACAAATTAGAGCATAATTATGATGTCTTTTTCAATCGTGGGCAGGCTGGGAAATCAAGATTTCTTTTTGGTATAGGATTAGAAGTGTAAGGACTCAACATAAAGCTGGCAATCCAAAGGCAAAGGCCCGTCCGTGCTCAACCGGATCGGTCGCAAGCCTTTTAGCCCAAGCCCAGTTGAATTTGAAACTCAACAAATATGAAAATGGCTTTAGTGCATGGGTCCAAAGACACGTATTTGTTGTATTTCTAGTCGTGGAAATGATTCTTAAAGACGGATTCGGTTTTTGGTTTTGGACCAAATGCCACGTTTGATGTACTTCTAGTCCATCCATACAGAGTGTACTCCCGCGATCATAGGTTTGACTTTGCACTGCCCAGTGGATGCGCGGCACGTGGGTCTGTTCTGATTGAGCGCGAGGACTTGAGGCTGGCAGATCTCTGGTCAAATTATGTGGGAAAAGAGCCGTCTGACGATCTATACCCTAATGACAAGGGCCTAGGTCGAACTATTAAAGTTTTCATTCACCCGTCTCAGATTACACATCTTGCCGTCCTCTTTTCAGATCGGAACACGCGCTTCGGGGCTAATCGAAGATCAAACTGCAAACGTGGTATCGCTAGCTTCTTCATTGGCGGCGTGCGAGTCCGATCCAAAACGAAAACAACCCAATCTTCAATCCGAGCCTTTTAGTCTACCCATGAAGGCTTGAACGCTTTGCAAATCATGCACATTGGCATGAAGGAGAAAGTGCAAATCCAAATGTCCTGTTGGCCCGGTCTAACCCAAACTCTCCACGGCCCAGTTTTGTTTATATTAAAGCCTTGATGATAGATGGAGATATATTACCTATACCTTCTATCTTCTACATTTTATATATGTCTAGGTCAAAAGTGGGTTCATCTCACCTTTAATGACCTCCAAGAATACCCCTCATCTGATAAAAGTTTATAAAGTTTATAAAATCGATCCATTTTCATAACTTCCACTCCCATCAAAACCCTCTAAGAATCCTCTAACTTTTATGTTTCGTCAAACTATATATTTTCTCAATCTATGTCTATTATTCTTTTTATTTTGGGTAAAAGCCACCAAAAGTCCTAAACTATGCGCATTGTGACATATTTACTCGAATCTTTTTTATGACAAAAAAAACCCCAAACTTATACCTATATGACATATTTACCTCAAACTTGTACCTATGTGACACATTTACCACAAACTTGTATAATGTGACACATTTACCTCAAACTTCTTATTGGGACATAAAAAATCCTAAATTTGTATCTGTGCGACACATTTGCCCCAATAATTTGGTATTATGGAAAAAAATTTGGGATTTTTGGTGTCACAAAGGAAAAAGTCTGGGATAAACGTGTTACACTAGCATATGTTTAGGATTTTTTGTGTCACAGGAAAAAAGTTTGGGGTAAATGTGTCATACAGGTACAATATTTTAGTCATCGTTTGTGCTTTACTCGCAATATCCAAATTTTGTTTTGATTGCGCTTATTGCGTCAATAGGCAGTGTTTAACAAAATATATAAAATTCATTTTAAAAAAAAACCTCATCTGAAAAAACCAACGTAACCGATTTAGACCTTGAGTCGAGCATATTTATTTTTTCTTTGGTCGAAAAGTCTAGCATATATGACATTGCTTTTTTTTTTTTTTTGAAATTAGGCAGTCTAGCACTGATGCAATCTCGAATTATTTCATTTGCTTTGGGAGGCGAGAGGAATCGTATACTGTTGTGCACTTTCTTCTGATCGAGCTTGAGTTGTGCCTAGTTTAATTCGATGCGGATTCACATTCCTCAAGCCACGTGATTCCAATTCCCATTATTTTTCATGTTTTGGAGAAAGATTAGAGTAGGGTTTGGATTCCGATTTACAATTCCTTTTATCTTTTGAGTCCTTAGTTATGGATTTTGATTCCTCGCAATCGGATTTTCCAGCTATAACTAGGATCGAGATTCCATTCCATGGTTTGTATTACCACGAAACTATCAAAAACTCAATTCCACCACCGATCGCCACCACCCATCCATCCCTCTGCTGCCGGTCGCAGGTCATCGACTGCTGTACTCCATTGCCGGTCACATGCAATAGTCACTGGGTCGCCGAAGACAAGCTCCGCCGTCGGACTTTGTTGCC